AGCGAAGATGGACCATCTAAGTATCTAAGTATCTAAGTACATGATAAAAAAATCGATCTGAATTTGAAATGTGAAATTTTAAATTTTAGGAAGAAAAAAATGTCGGTGGAGCGCATATGTAGATCAAAAAAAAGCTCAGTATTTTTTTTTCGAGGAAACTGTACCTTTTTTTGGCAGTGCAAAAAAAGTCTTCAACCTTCAAAGTTTTTAGATCAGATCTTCTTCGAAATTCTCCAAATCTTTAAATTCATTTTTTTATTCACTTTTCAAAAAAAGTAAGCTTATCATAAATAAACTGTTTATGAAATTGAAAAAAAGTTTACAGAAAGTTTGAGCTTTATCCTTCGAATTATTCATTTCTGGAGCTCATTTATTTTTTATTTTTTTATGGTATCACCAATTGAACAAGTTCTACGAACTATTTTTCGTATTCACTTCTACTTGAAACCGTAAAGCTTGATTGAAAAGCCAGTTACTTTTTCAAAAAAAAAAGAAGCTAACTCGCGCCTTGAAATTCCTGTAAGATCCGAATAATAACAGATAGATTTTCTAACTCTCACAGTACCCTGAAACTTCCTGTGCAAATTTCAGTTTTCGATTTCAGATTCAAACGTTTTTCAAACCAAAAACGCGCGAAATCAGAGAGAAGAAGGAGAAAGAGAAAACCACAAGTTTCCCTCAATGAGGCAGCCCATTAATGTGTCCCTCGAATGGTCTTGGGAAACGACGCCAAAAACCTAAAACAATACGCTCTTTGAAACCGCCATTTCGCGCGCCACCGAGACTCATTTCAAAAACGAAACAAAAAAAAAGAAACCCCGAAAGTGCAGCGATTTTGGCGCCCAAAACACTTGCACTACGATGGAAAAACATCTCAGCCAAAACATGTCCAAAGTCCTTTTCTTCTGCGAGCAAATTCAAAAATCCTGCAAATCAGCCTCTGTTCTTTGGACCTGGACTTTCTCTGGCGTGGTTTTTGAAGTTCGAAATAAAAAGAATAAACTCTAAAAATCGGACAATCTTTATAAAAAAATAAAAAAATTCAAAGTTAACATTTATACTCAAATAACTTTTTGATCCACACCAGAATCCGTTAAAATGAAGTAACAAGAGGAAATAAAAAAATTATTTCACAAAAAAATGAAAAAAAGTTTCTTAGAAACGCCAGAGTGGTTCCTGGAGGGGAGCCTTACGGGTTTTCAAAGGAAGGAACCACTTTAATTCTTCGAACTACAGCTTGGAAAGCGGCTACTTAAAAGAGTTTCCCTTAGTGGGCTTTTTTTGTTTTTTTATTTTTTTATCTTATTCCTTTGGGGACTGATAGCAACAGCTCTACCTTCTCCACAAAGATTTCTTAGGAAATTCGTCTAAAATCCCCAGAGTGGTCCCTAGAGGGGTGACCTTAAAGGTGCTTGAAGGCTCCCCTCTACAGATTTTCCTACCCTATAGGGGACACTAAAACTGAAAAAATAACCACTTTAGAGGTTTTTTTAGAGAAGCTGTTTTTTCTCCTAACCCTCTGGGGACCACTCTGGCGTTATTAACCAGGGTCTCTGATCAAAGTGGAACTTTTTAATGAGACCAAACGTACTGGATGTAGTTTTTCCCGCTGATTCCAAATGTGGTTTTGAAAATTGCCGCGGAGGTCAGTGAGAAAATTTATGGACCCTCAAAACAGTTTTCGACTTTTGAGAGCCCCTAACTTTTCTCACAAACCTCCGCGGCAGTTCTTAAGACCAGAGTTGGAATCAAAGTGAAAAACTGTATCTAGTAAACTCGGTCGCATTCAGAAGTCCCACTGCGACCAGAGACCATTCCCTAGTAAGTGGGCAAGTTCGGAAGATTTTGTCTCAAATAAATCAAAAAGCAACAGAAAAATATGAACTTTCTCGTGATTGACAACATATAAAAAAATGAAGTGCATTGAAAATGCAAAAATTTAGCGAGACATTGAACCTCTTAAAAATACGTTTCATTGACTTTTTAAAAAAATGATTTATTTCTCGAAAATGATAGCTTTCTTGTTAGACATCAGAAGTTTCATTTATTCTACACTTTCTCACTCAAATTTAGATGAAAAGCTAATCCGTTAGTCTAAAAGTTAAAAGTCAGCTTCTTTCAAAGGAAAAAACTAAAATTGATCTTATTGTCCTTCATGAGACTTACCGCAATTGATGATCTCAAAAAATCTTCGCGGAAACTCGGAAAATCAAGGAAAAACTTTAAAAAGCCTCATTTCAAGACCCTCTATTTTTGGCTAACCACCGAAATATTCAAATTCGTTTCCCACCAACTTTTTCCCCATTTCCAACCATTCGCTACCCAAAAAAGGGACCATAAAAAAAGGTTGGTGACAACCTTGGAAAAAGCGTTCGCCGCGCTACCATAGCCCATAAAAGGGTGTTGACATAGGCGTGAAATGCATTTCGAAAGGAAAATAAATAAAAAAAGGCGGCCAAGTTTGCCGTTCGAGAATTTGGCGACGATATGCAAAAAAGCCATGAATATATTTTCTGCCTGGGAAAAAAAAGATCACGTTCTGGCCACCAAGACGGAGCATAATCGTGGGAAAACGTACAGTCGTGTGAAACAAAATGTCATTTTTAATGGGTTTTTTTCTCGCCAATCTCGCAAATCTTCTCAATCATTGTTTTCGTTGGCGTTACGATTGTGGGAACGTGAAGAAGAAAATGGAATGCGATTCTAAACTCTACGGAAGGAATGGAAATATATTCAACAAGAGAAGTCGATCCTTTTGAGAAACTAACAACTCACAAGGGAGGTAATTTTACTTTGAAAACGGCTAATAGACTCCTTGATGTACCAAAAGAAGGTCCTGAAAGTCTCAACCCGCACAACTTCCAAGTTATCGAAAAATAAGGCCTCAAAGTCTCTAAATAGCCAATTTTTGAGGATTTTGAGGGTTTTCTTTGACTTTGCGATTCCTGAGAAGGTAACTAGCCGGGTTTGGAAGATAAATGGAAGTTAGAAGGTTTTTAGAAGGCTTTGGGGAGGTGTTCAGAAGGTAGTCGGAAGATAAAAGCTCTCTGAAAAGCTTCCAAAAGCCTTCCCGAGGAACCGAAACCAGAAGCTTCTCAATTTCTACCTAACCAGGACAGTCATTTCCCTTTGCGGTTCGGATTTTCCTGCAAATTGGCTAGAGCACTCCTTGAGGTACCAGAAGAAGATTCTAAGAAGATTCCTCATTCTGCACAACTTTCTAGTTTTCAAGAAAAGACACCTCAAGGTCGAAGTAAGACCTCAAAGTCGTAAAATAGGTCTGGTTTCGAGAACTCATTTTTCAAAAACTAGGAAGGTCTGCAGGCTGAGACTTTCAGGACCTTTTTCTGGAGAATTCAGAAAGGATCTGGTCAAATTTTAAGAATATCCCAGTCAGTACACGGGAAAAGTCTAAAAGGTCTCAAAAAGGACTTTTGGAAAAAAAAAAAACCTTCAAAAGACTTCAAAGGCGCCTTTTTTCTAGGCCTTTTTTCTGATAAGGACCTTTTACGAAGGTGTAAAAAAAGGCGGAAAAAAGGAGACTCCGAGAAACTTTTGACACCTTTTTAAGAACTCAAAAAGTAGCTTTGAGCTCTTCTTTTTAAGGTCTTTTTGAGGTCGTTTGGACTTTGCCTGTGAGAGAAGATCGTAATTTTTCTCACTAAAATGTTGTTCCTTCACATTTTTTTTTAAATTTTGAAGCGGCTTTCAAAGCTCTGATCAGGTACTCATTTCTTGTAGAGTGTTAGAAAAAGGCCATGGAAAATTTCAGAAGATCTGGTTTTCTGATAAATTGATAACTATCCGATCTTACAGATCAAATGACTAGAATTTCTAGAAATTCAAAACGTCTCTATGCAAGAAAAGAAAGACGAACCGGAAAATTCAAAATAGGAAGATCTTATCTCGTGATAAAATGACAGTAATTAGTTCTCAGTGATCAATTTGACAAAACAGTTCGAAATTTCTCATCGCAACAAGAGATAGAAGACAATCAGGACATTGGAAGACTTAAAAATTCAAACTCTGGAGATCTTATCTTCTGATAAACTGATGAGACGAGCGAAAATTCAAATATTCTCGTGATTACAAGGGAATTTCGGTGAACAACAAGATTGATGGATAAATTGACAACCTACTTCTCTTCAATTGAGATTTGTTGATAAGGTCATACCACTAAACAGAGAAGGGAGAAAATTTGAATCGAGAAGATATGAAATGCATTTAAAGTGATTTTTAAAAGTCATGAAGTTATGCTATAATTTACTTGAAATCCCTCAAAAAGTGAGGTTTTTCCAAAACCTATGGTAGTAATTCCCAGCCTGAAATTATTTCAGAAGTCCAGAAAAATTATAAAATAAAGAGTTTTGCTGATATCTCACTCTTATCACGGCATTCTTAGAACCAAATTTGGACAAAATACAGCACTTTAAACCAAAAAAGTCTTCAAATGTTATTGAGGTAACCAAAAATAACTACAGTTTCCTGTACCTTGAATAGTTTCGAGGAAAATAATCACCGCTCTGAGCCTTCTAAAACGAAGAAAGAAACGCCAGAGTGGTCACTAAAGAGGAAACCTTAGAGACGACTGAAGGTACCCCTTCAGGGACCATATCTTAGGGGGGACTAAAGCTCACAAAGTTTTTAGTTAGTGGGTGGCCACTTTAGGGGGAGCAGAGTAGTCCGTCGTTTTGATACGTCTTTTTTTCAACTTTCAACCCAAAAAAAAATTGAAAGACCCTCATAGGGTCCTCTGAAGCTTTAGGGGCTATGGAAGGCCCTCTAACCCCTATAGAACCACCTGAGTTTGACCCCTCCAGGGAGCACTACTTTTCCACTTCAGAGCCGTCTAGGAGCTTCTTCCCCTGGTCCCTCTAGGGACCCCTGTGGTGATCTCAAGAAAGTCTACATTACTTCAAATTCAAACTCGAAAAACAAAGCTGCCTACAAGGTCATCCGCGCAGTCGCACTCGAGAAAAGTTCCAACCAATTGATCGTATTCAAATTTCGGCCGACAAGACAGTTAGCGACAGTCGGAAAGAAGTGTCAGAAAGGTTTGATTGAACGGGTCGGGAGCCGCCGAAAGTGCTGCCCCCGAAGTTGATGACGGCGGCAGATTGGCGGCGAGCCAACGGCGGCTGGCAGATAGCCATCTTTTGGCCTCGAGATGCCCGATAGCGGCCCCTCGGAGTCCCTTATTTATCGCCGCTACATGAATATATCAAGGCGAGCCCCTCCGACTGGAGAGAAAAACTCCACTTGCTGATCGAACTTGAAATTGAAATTGTGGGGAGGAAAGTGAATACTTGGTTTAAAGGTAATTTGAGTCAAAAAGTTAGAAATTTAGAAGCACCTGGTTTGGCCAAAAATCCATGGACTTTCTAGAAAAAGTTTTGGATACGTATTTGAGTAATGAAATAAAAAACTAGAGATAATTATAGTCTATGTGCCACGACCTGGAATTTCAATGAACGACATTCCGCTGTTCCGCTGCGTGCAATCGCAAGGCGTATTTGTCTTTGCGAACCTCGGTTGCGCTTTGAACTTTTTTCTTCTTTCCGTTCTCGACTTTCACGTGTTCCCATTAAAACAGTCTATTCAACATAAAAGATAAAAAATTGATACCGCGACCGAGATTCTCGAAGGCAAAGACGCTTCGCGACTGCACGCAGCGGAATAGCGGAATGTCGTTCAAGGAAATTCCAAGTCGTGGCAAACAGACTATGAAATTTTATAAACTTATTATAGCGGTTTAAGGTCATCAGTAGCAATTGAGAAATAGATGAAGAGATTTTTTTTTTGTTTGAAAAAGATGATTTTTAAAAATGGCATAATGCTAGGCTTACTCTGACTAGTGATATTTTTTTCAAAAAAAAAAAAATGGACTCCCTGAAAACAAATAACAAAAAAAAAATTATAAAACCCCAAAAAACGTAAAATTTTTCACGTTATTTCAACCCCCCCTCACGTTCTTCTTTTCAGAAAAAAGGACTTTCAAACCCTACCCATTTCAAAACCTCGAACCTAATCAGAACATAAGTTATCAGGAACAGAGAACAATGGCAAAATTGTCGACGCCAACGGCAAATTGTTTCTGGTTATCATTTTCTGATAACGATTTGCGCATTATTTCGTGTTCCAGAATGTTTCAAAACCGAACAACGCGTCGTTCTCTTCCTACAACGAAAAAAGAACAAATTGATGGAAATTGAATGGTTCTTTCGCCGAGGCGCAAATGGCTCAATTCCAAATGATTGACACGAAATTGGTTACTGTAGGCAAATAATGTGCATTTATGCGTGAATTCGTCGTTCCTTATCCAGTCAATGGGTCGTGGAGAACCTTTTTTGCATTGTGAAAAATTTCACTTCTCAATTCAAGTTGAAAACGGATCTTTATGAGGATGAGGCTCGTCTTTGATAACTCTTTTTAGAGTGGACTCTAGAGTGGCTACCTTATCCCCTCTAGGGGCCACTTTATCTCTTCCTATAGGCGCATAAAGATTGCTAAATTGGCCACTCTAGGGGCTTCGTTAAGGGACTACTCAAGAGAAATATACATGTGGTCCCTTCACGTCCTTCTAATAACTACTTTTATCTTTCAAATCAGAGCAAAAGATTCAAAAATCACTATAGGGGCCACTAAAGCTTCAGGAGATTACTGATCCGATCCTGAAGCCCTAGAGGGGCCACCTGAATTGTAGCCCTCTAGAGAGCATCTTTTGGTCTCCAAGGAAGGATTTTTTCCCTCTAGGGACCACTCCCCAAGATTGTTGAGTTTGTTAGGACCTTGGAACGGTCCAGAACTTACCTGTCCTAGAAGTATCTCAATTTTCATTACCCGAAACAAAATTTAAAGGTTACTGTAGGTTAAAGATGTGCAGTTATACGTGAACTTCGAATCAAATCCAAATCCCGTGACGATTCATTTTTTTTTCCCAGAAGACCACTCATTTTCAGCCTTGTAAAACCGCGTGATCCTAAAAAAAAAGTCGTGGCGAATTTCGCGTGACGACGGAAAGTTGGCAGGAAGCGAGGTTGTGTCGATCCGATTGGAGATAAGCCTAACGGTTGGTCAGAAAGCCGCACGCCAACCGCTAATTGGTCCTGGCACGAACCGTTCCGATAAAAAGTTTTCAGAAGGACGGTTTTCGGTTCTGGGGACTTTGAAAAGTTGGTGGTATGAAAAAAAGACCAGCGAAAATTCAAACGGCGACTTTTCCGATTTTTTGGTATCGCTAGGGAACTTTCCGACGGCCACCTTTCGAATCTTTTTTCCGACATTTTTCCATTATATTTTTCGGTTTATAAAACATCTTTTAACTTTTTTTTTCCTTACTTCTTTGTGTTTTAATCATGAATAAACAACCTACTTCATATAGGAAGATTCAAAACGAAAAGTTCATCGAGAAAAAAAGTCGGAAAGGGATTCGTCGGAAAGGTGGCCGTCGGAAAGTTCCCTAGCGATATGAAAAAATTGGAAAAGTCGCCGTTTGAATTTTCGCCGATCTTTTTTTCATACCACCGGAAATTTTGATAGGAGCACAAGATTCGATGTGTTTTTCGGGAGCTCCGAGGAAGTCCTAAAGTTAGCAAAGTCCATCCAAATTTCAATGTAGGGCGGAAAGAAATAATCCCTAGTAAGCTATAGTTGGAGAGCAATATCTTTAAAAAGAATGTATATTCGAGTTTTTTTATTTATATATACCTCTTCGAAAAAATCATTCAGAGTGTTTGGAAGATCGCAAAACAGAGCGGACCAGTCGCCTTGAAAAAAACGAGGTTCATAATTTTTATAGCCTTACCTACGTGGCTAGATATCCTCGGAATGATGGAACTGTTATCTGAAAAAAGCTGAATAGACTATAAAGTTCGGAGAGCCATGAAAAATATGTATGACTCTGAGAAAAAAACATATTTTTCTGTATTTACTGTTAGAAATTCTTTCAAGAAACTTTTCTTCTTCAAGGCTTCCAAAAGAAAAAAAAATACATGTGGCATTTTGATTTTACTTGGTATCGAATCCGAGAAAAACGGTTTTTTTTTTCCAAGATAAAAATAAGTTCTCAGTTTCAAAAGATCACATGTGAAGCATTTTTATTCTTCCTAATGTACTTTTTGATGTATTTATGTATAAAATGACGACTTTTTATCTTATGGTCAATACGATTCGTAAGCTTTCACTGACACCTTTTTTATATGTAATTGAAAACTTTGAAGCTTTTTTACTCGTCTACAAGACAAAATTCGAAAAATTTTGCTCTTTTTTGGGTATTGGGAGGTCTTGAAGTGCTTCAGAGTTTAATCAAAATTGAAATCGACAGCTGAAAAAAGTTCTCTTGAGTCATTAGGATGAACTTTTATCATTCCAACTATCAAAAGACGGTTTGTGTATTCCAAATCGAGTTGAACTCTTTTCTTTTCAATCTTTCCACTTGTTACTCCTTACAAAGCAATCTCCGATTGAGTCTCACTTTTTAAAAGTATGAAGTATGAAACAGCAGAGCGAAATTTGTCATTTCATCACTCAGAAAATTTTTAGCAAGCTGCAAAATGAACCAAGTCGCTCCAAGACCATTAAAGAACCTTTATTCCCATTCCAACGTCCTTATTTCGCAATCTTATTAGCAAAAAAAGACTGTCCTAGACAACCGTGTGCCTAAAAATGAACCTCTAGAAAATAGGAAAAAAAGAAAGATTTTGCTCGGAGATAGAACCACAGTAGGATGGAGGTTTCCTCTTTTTCGGCCGCGTTTTACAGATCTCATCTGGCGGCTCTTTGAGGTTTCGGCCAGCGAAGGTCGAACTTGACGTTTTGCCGCATTTTCGCCCTTCCAAATAGTTTAGAGTTGATCCGATCGCATAAATATTATTTTGGTGAGGTATGGGTCCAACAATTTATTAGCTGTTTCCATAAAAAGCTACTATTTTATTATTATTTCGCTTCTAAAAATTTAAAGGAAAGACACGTGGATGTAGCGAAAAATTGCACTATTATACTCTATTTTACTTGAAGGTCGCATTGGGAATGGCTCGTTTTACAACTATTGAAAAGAGGTTGATTCAAAGTTCGCCCGACTTGAAACGGCTTACGCGGAAGGCCATCTCAAAGCCCTGGAGCAATTTCGATTACAAACCTTTGAGCCATTCTCAATGCGGCCAAAAATGATAGTCAAGTGAATAAAGTATAAGGCTTTCGAAATAAATTAGAGGTATTCAAATTCTTTGGTTTTCCTGTAAATTTTCGTGAATTTGTGAGTTCGTCCCTTTACTTCTCGAACAATGTACTGCATCAATCGGATCCCTTTCCGGGCGAACCAACGTCGCAACTGAAAAATTCAACTTTTTCTGAGTAAGAGTTCTTCAAAAAGCTTACTACAAGTCCGAAAGGGTAGAAAAGGGTGCAAAAAGGACCATTTATGCTGCTTTTTTGGAGCCTTTCTCCTTGGCTGAAGTTTCAAAGGCCCAAAAAAGGGTTTAAATTAGGGAGAAGCAAAAAAAAAGGCTAGAAATGGTGGAAAAAAAGAGAGGCTAGAAAAATCTCCCTTGAAGTTAGTTTTTAGCAATTTTCTAAACCTTCTTGGCCACCGGCGCTCCAGAATTCTCCTTCTGGAACAAATACTGCGGATTCAAAGTCAAAGTGACGTCATCTGGGGACGTCTCCACCAGGTCTCCTTCTTCGACCAGAATCAAGCCTGAAATTATCATTTTTTTCAACTTGTCTTCCCAATTATCTTACCTGTGTTACTAACAGTCATCAGAGCAGCCCGATCGTGTACCTGACCTTCCGGTTTGTACTGTTGGATAGTTAAGAAACCATTGTACTGATGGACGTTATTCGGGTCTTCTTCGCTGGTCACCACGCTTCTAAAAAAATACATTATTTATCTGTTCCATTCAAGCTTTTGAGATAATAAAAGTAGGAATGGTGGATAATGACCGCTAAATGGGTGAGGCTCAAAAAAGGCCGCAGAAAGGCAGCAAAAAGAGTCACTTAATCGAACATTCCCTTTTTTTTCTAGAAATTTGAAGGGTCAAGAAAAGGTGAAAAAAGGGAAAAGAAGCAAAAATGGTGCATAAGAGCCAATGAAATAGCCCGAAAAGGCAGCAAAAAGGAACCTTTGTCGCCTTGAAAAGGACATTTTTATGAAGCATTTTTTGACCCCTTTTGAATTTGAATGGAAAAAAAACTCCAAATTGATTCTGAAGCACTGGAATCAGTCCGGGACCCTCTTTTACAAAGAAATTTCAAGAAAAACTACTGATGAACAATTTTTAAAAGTTTGTTCGCTTTGAGCGCCAAGAAAATATCTAGTGACAAAAATTTTTTGAATATTCCCTAAAAATATCCCTTCATTTTCGCCTTTTTTTAAAGGCTCTCTTTTGCTATGGGGTACTCAGGGAAAAGTCATTTGTTGAAAAATCAATATATTTGCGGAAAAATATCGATTATGAGCTCCTAAACCTTTTCAAATTCAGTTTTTAAAAGAAAAACTGACGAGTAGTTGATATGAGGCGTGCCGAACATGAGAGACTTGGCAACAGAGAAGGTGAGGGTTTCGTTGTACCCCATGCCGACCATGTCCAACGGGTAATCCGTCGACTTGTTGTTGAATCCTGCAATATTGATAAAATCGAACAAGTTCTGAAAAATCACAAATTAAATTGCTGCTGTGAGGGCGCTTGCTTACGGTTTTGAGGTCGCCCGTTCGAAGTCGACAATGATCCTTTTTTGGGTTTTTATGAAAAAAAAATTTTTTTTTTCTCTTTCCTTGAGGCTTGCTAATATTATCTTTATAACTTGTTATGAATTTTGGAATCTGATAAGACTTTTGAATTTTTTTAATTCGATGAAGGGCCCGTTAAACCTTTTTTTCTGTTATCTTTCAATCCTTTTTGAAGATAATTTTTCAACTTTTCAGACCTTTGACATGAGTTTTCCACTCGCCGAGGATCCAGGAGAAAGGCATGAGGATCGGTTGAAGTGGAAGATATGCGACTTCTGGAAAATTTGGACTGAAGATAGTTACACAAAAATCCTTAAAGCTCAGGTCTAATTTTACGGAATCACCAAAAATCATTTTTTTAAAAACCATTGTAATATTACGTAATTGTACTTCTTCAAGAAAAAACAGTGTTCTATAAAATTTTCTTTGATGAAAAATGGCCTTATTCAAAAATTTTGTGAAAAAGTAGTTATTTAATATTCCTCTACCTTTCCTACCTGTTTCATTAGAAGGGGTACAAATTCCGCAGGAAGCGGCGCAGTTGAGTTCAAAGAAGGCTGTCTGCTCCCGAGCAGTCTCGCATTCGCCGTCTCGTTTCCAGATTCGACAAGTTCCGAAGGCGTCACGGCACGGTCCTAAAATTGTCTGAACTTTTGAAAACTCCGTTTTTTTTTCAATAATAGTTGGCGACCATCACACCTTATGAAATACTATGATGCTTAAAGCGGCGCGCCGTAGCGCAACTGGTTATGTGTCTGCCTATAGTCCACAGGTTCACTAGTTTGATCTCTACCGCCACCCAAGCAAGGGGTTCAAGAAACGTTGTAAGTGGGAAAACCAGGACTTTCAAAAATCCCTAGCCGTCAAACACAAGGGCGGATATGTCACTAGAGCCAGTCCTCTGATTATCAGTGATATAGTCTGTGTGCCAAGACTTGGAATTTCACCGAACGACATTCCGCTGTTCCGCTGAGTCGCGAAGCGTCTTTGCGAGCCTCGGTCTCGCTTTGAATTGGTTCTCATTTCTGATAGATGGACTGTTCCCCTAGGAGCACGTGTTGGTCGAGTTCTTAATTAAAATGAAAAATTAAAAGCGCGCAAAGGCACGCAGCGGAACAGCGGAATGTCGTTGGGTGAAATTCCAAGTCGTGGTACACGGGCTATACCTTCTAATGGAAAAAAAAAATGCAAAATCACGTTCGCAATGACGACCCATCCATCCGACTGAGCAGACGCATTTGTAGTCGTTGAACAGATCGATACAACTGGCTCCATTCAGACACTTTTTCCAGCCACATTCGTTGATTTCTGAAGAAATTTCTCCTTTAAAGGACTTTATACGTAGAACGCTTTCTTGTCTTTTTCTGCTCTAAAGAAAAATGCAAAAAAAAATCCATGATTTTACCATTTCAGTCAAATTTTTTTATTGAATTACGCTCATCTTTTATTGATCTCGTCACCTTATGAGTGAATGGCCTTTTGAAGTCCTTGAAACGGAAAAGAAAGCTTCTTTTAGTTCCTTCAAAGGTTCTAGGGCTTCTTCTAACGTAGAAATTAACATAGATCAAATTAAATTCACCTTTCCATCAGCTTTCCACTTTTTGAAAAATGGCTTTTTCCATGAAAAGTCAAAGAATGACGCTTTAACAAGATCATGAACTTTTTGATGTTTTTTTTCTACGTGATTATTTTGGTAACACTTTTCCTCACCTCTCTCGCACTTGAGGCCGGTCGTTCCGGACTGACATTTGCAGCCGATCTCCCCATTGGACTTCATTATGCAAGTGCCTCCGTTTGCGCACTGGTCCGGTGGACATTCGACTAAACCTTTTTGATATTTTATCAATTTAAAATTCTTCAAACACTGGCAGAAAGTCCCAACGGTGCCGTTCTGACAGACGCAGCTGTAGCCGAAAGCCGTCCGAGTGCCGCTCACGCAAGTCGCGTTATTAGCGCACAAGTTGTGAAGACAGGTGTCTCTTTCTGAAAAGATTTTGGTGAAAAGAAACAATGTTCACACTTTGATGAACCGCACAAGACCAAAAGTTGAAAAAATTCGGAAAAGTAGGACTGGATTGAAAAAGAGGCAAATGTAAAATTGTAACTTTTTCCCTATTCCAAGTTTCCGAATTTTTTAAACCTATTTTATCGGAATATTGAAGTTAGAAGCGTCGGAACTTCATAACTAACTTGAAAATATGTGTTTCCATTTCCAAAACACAAATTACCCGCCTAGAATGGCCCATTTTCTGTTTTCCCGTCATTTTTTGAAACTTTTGTTACCTTGGACCTGCTAAGTTGAAAATATTTATTTTGAAAACAGCTTTGAAACTTCTTCCACTGGTTTTTTTAGTCTTTGTGTTTGTCTGTTTTTTGAAAAAAAATTTTAAAACTCCAGTTGACTTAAAGGAAAAGCCCGTATTGGAAAGGATAGATGCAAGCCATGTTGAGTTGATTTTCATTTTCCAATTTTTGTTTTTGGGAAACCCACGTTTGCAACGGTCGCCGATGTATCCTTCTGGACAATCGCAGGTCTGTTTCCCGTCCCTGACAACACACTTTCCTCCGTTGGCGCAGAAATTCTCACCGGCACATTTTTTTTCTTGAAAAATTTATTAATTAATATGCTTATCTATAAGTTTTAATTTTTAGAGAAAGATCGAAAAAAAACCAGAAAAATTCGAAGTCTTTTGCATCCCAACTTCACGGCGATTTTTTTCAAAAAAATAGAAAAATTAATAAATTTCCATTAATTAATTGAATGTTTCAATCGTTTTCGGTTAAGCTCTAATTTCCTCAAGAATCATGAGATTCAAACTTCATTTATTACCTTCAGAAGAATCCACGTCGTTGTCGACGAAATCGTGCTGTACTTGAGCATGGGAGTTGAGGAATTTGAGGTCGTCGGTGCCGAGATTCGAATTTCGCGGAGGTTGGAACTTTTTGAAGACTCGGCTAGGCGTCAACTGTGCTTCGATTTGAGGCGTATGTGGTTCTTTCTGAAACTTTTACCGTTTTTATTTTCCAGAACACTTCTGGTCGCATATAGAATGAGTCAACGCGGTCGCGATGCGGTTTAAGGTCTGAATTGGTACTGAGGAATCCGAAGGAGACTAGGGACTCGGGTCTCTAGATGCAGTTTCTCATTCTGACTCCGAATTGAGCTCGAGAAATCCCGCAAAGATTCGGTTAAGTTTTGGAAAAAGGACCTTTCCTATCTTCGAAACGTTCAAACTTTCTCAAAATCGACCCATCTCCCCATGAAAACAACTCAAGTCAAAAAATGTTCAATTTCAAGCAAATCTTTTTCACCGCCTTTTTTGAAGTGATGACACTTGAAAGGTCGCAAAATATACGAATCATGTTGAAGAAACGGTATTTAAAGATGTGGAAATTCAAAAACAAGGTCCATTGTCCGATTTGCCGAATTTTATTCTCGAATCAGGTTCAATCGCGGCGCAAAATGTCTTTTTTCATAAACTACTAGCCGTTTCGAAAGGCTTCGAAGTGATATCCGAAGTGATGACGTCGGTTTTCTGCGTGTCGAAGACGTTGGCATTGAAAAAGTCGGCCTCGCTTCCACTGCCGTCGTCTTCGAAAGGATTCACACTCACCGCAAAAACATCATCCTCTGTTGGAACTTCTGAAATTTTTTTTTTATTTAAAAAAATTAGAAGAAAACCTTCGCCTTCTTGTCTCTGATTATTCTTTGGACCTTCAAACAGGGGATGCATGTCCGGCGTGACTTCTTTCACAAATGGGATAACGGCTTCCTGGATTTTTTTTTTTTTGGCTTTTCGTGGCTCAATGAATAAAAATCGTTTCTATAGATCGGAAAGTAACTGGTTCAAGTTCTACCAAGGAAAATTTTGAAGCTGATCACACAAGGGAAGTCATTTTACTCTGGGGTTGAGACATTCTTGAAAATTGGCCAAAGTTTTTAGTAGTGTACCAGAAAAAGATTCTGAAAGACTCAGCCTAAACAATAACCTATTTTTTGAAAAACAAGGGCTTAAAACCCCCAAATGGCTTTTTTTTAACGGATTCTGAGAGTTTTCTTTGATTTAGAGGCGCCTTTTCTTGAAAACTAGGTAGTTGTGCAGGTTGAAACTTCATCCAGTGTATCAAGGGTTTCATTGGCCTACTTTTGGACATTCCCGAAAGCGAGGTAAAATGACCTTCCTTGTCAGGAAGAGGTTTCAAGACTTTGATGTTCAGCTTCTGTGTCGCCGGAGTCGTGAAACTTTTTTTAAACTTTGATTTTTATATTTTACGATAAAGTTCCGCAGCTTCTATTCAAGACTCCACTCAACTCAATTTTAAGGTTAGACTTATAAAATTTCAATTAAAATGCTTTTTTTTCATTTTTCAATATTCAAGATCCTTTTCACACCTTCTGCAGAGAGTAGATGAAAAGCGAAGGTTTCGGTTCGATATTCAGCAACTGGGGCGATCGGAGGAAGGCCGACCGAGGCCTCCATCTCTCCCAGAAGACCTCATTCTCGGACGCCACCGTCGCCCTGAGAAATTCCAACTCAAACTTCTGAGAATCCGACGACGACTACATAAACTGAACGTTGCCGACGTCGCGATCTGTTGACCACAAAACTTCCACTGAGAACTTCTTCTCGTCGCTCCAATGCGTCAGGGCGTCGTTGGAAGAGCTGCGGTCGCACCTTTGGAGCGAGGCTCCTGGGAAAAAAAGGGACTTTCTGACAGTAGGAGGAGGAAAAATGTTTACAAAAAAACAAGAGTGTTTGAAAAAAATAAAAAAATGAAATTAAAATTTATAAGAAAAAAATTTATTCAAAATTGGTTCTCCCCACCCCCAAACTTAAAGTCATGCTTCCTTCACGCTACTCAAGCTCATGCCTTATAATAAATATTTTTTTGAGAGAAGCACGCCAAATTACTGAGAAAAATAAAGATTGGGACCTCAAAAGACCTTATCAATTCGAAAAAAAAATTGTTTTCTATCGAGTTTTGCTCAAAAATAACACGAAAAAATCTAAAAAATGGAAAGAAAAAGGCAAAATTTGCAAAAAGAGTGTCAAAATATTTTTCTTCCAAGAACTCTTCTTACTGATCAAAAAAAAATATTGGTTATTGAGATTGTTTTTGAAAAAAACGGCCTAAGCGTAGAAAGTGTCCAAAATTTTCAAAAAACCTTTTCAACCCCGCAAATATCTAGAACCCTTTTAACCTGCCACAGCAAACTGCTCGTCGTCGTTCAAGAACTTCCCGCCCCTCAGAGATCCAATCAGAACGCCTTCTGGAGTCGTCAGCCTTGGCTGCAGCATGAATCCGCGAAAGTGGACGAATCCCATTAGTTTTACTGCAAACATTATTTTATATCTCCACAGGTTTCTTCGGAACCTGTATAATTTTTCCCGGGTTCATATGACGACACCTTCTTTCCAGAGTAGTCACTTATGGTGAGCTCAAATGGCGGCTCACTTGTTTGCGGCTGTCCGTGGAGGTGTCGCGGAAGCTTCATCGAATTTCTGGGATTTTTAAAGGAGTTGGGGTCAGGAAGAAGAAGATTAACAAGGACCTTATCGTTACAAAACCATTTTTGAAATTTAAAAAAAAATGGAAAAGTTTTATTTTCTATTCAAACTGATGCATCATACTTTTTAATGAAAGTATTAATTTTTTAAATATTTTTCAAATATTTTTTCTCAGTGCTCCTCATATTCAGCCACCTGATTCATCGCTTTTTTTGATGCCGTTGGGCGCAAACCGTTTGAGGTCGGGTACTCTCTAAAGAAGTTGCTTCGCAAGAGAGCCATTCCAAGCGCGACCACGGCTTTTCAAGCTTACAAAATAGGTTTAAAAAACAAAAATTGAAAGCCAATTTTTAAATTTCATTCGCGGCATCCAAGTCATTTTCTTGAAAAGTTTTATAGAATGAAGTTTTTTCTCCTCAGATCCAAAACAAACCTGTATATACAATGAAACCCAGTCGTTTCATACAAGCCTTGTGGAGCATCTGAAGCCGAAGCGACGGCCAGAATCGGCAAAAGAAGCCGCAGAATCATCTGAACAGGAGGGAAAAATGGAATCGACGTTGATGGGACTGGGAAGGCCGCAGGAAACTGGTAACGACTAAATCCGCGGCCTTGATAGCTTCTTATCATGTTTTGTTCTGCTTTTGTCCCTTACTCGAGTCGTTCGATTTGGATGAAGAGAGATATATTGATGGAAAGATTGGGATTGAGAATTGGAGTGAATGTGATTTATTTATTAGGCTTCACTTTGGAAAAAGGCGTTTTGGATTGATCAGAAGGAGGTTTTATGACTTTTCGTGGAATAAACGGTTCAGCGGAGAAAGATAATACATATGAAATAAGGAATTCAACATTTTGAAGCAAATTTCAAACGATATGACGAAAATAATTAAAGAAAATGGAAAAAAGGGGAGAATCACATTTGACAGAAAATTCGACCTTTCGATTTTATTTACAGGGGAGGTCGTTTTACTTTGTGGTTGGGAATTTCTTGAAAATTGGCCAGAGCGTTTCTTGATGTACCAGATCAAGATCCTGAAAGTCTCAACTTGGACAACTTCTTGGTTTTCGAGAAATAAGGTCTTGAAGCCTATAAATAGCCTATTTTTTTGGGGGTTTCCTCTGACTTTGAAGCTTCTTTTCTTGGAACGAGGATATTTTGCAGGTTGAGACTTTCAGAATCTTTTTCTGGTACATCCAAGAGCGTTCTGGCCAACTTTCAGAAGAATCCCAACCGCAAAGTAAAATGACCTCCTTTGTTAGGAAAAGCTACAATTTCTCTTTTGATAAATTTTTTCGTTGAAGTTGAATTTTCTGAAAACTGAAGTCATTGACAGATTTGACTTTTCACACTTCAAAAAGTCGAAAAAGAACTTCTTTCGAGGAAAAAAACAAAACAAAAATCGGAAGAAAAGAAAAATATTCTACCTTTCTTAAGAGCTGATGCACGGAGTTTTTTTGATTCATTAATTCAGAATGATTTAAATATTCTCATTATTCACTTTTTGAAAAAGAAGTTTTTTTCAGAATAACTTGATGGAAACTGCACTTGAACAAGAAAAAAAGTAGAACGAGATTTTAAAGGAAGGCTTGAAACCTATTTCCATCATCGAAACGAATTTCCTCACGCTGTTATTTTACGGCTTAAGTTATTGAAAACCACGTGATTCCCTGTCGGATTTTTATTCAGAAATAAAGAAAAAGACATAATTTTTCCAAGCAAATGAATACCTAAAGTGACATCTTTAAACGAGACTTACAACCTAACAAAAAGGATTCTCCCATAGAAATACCAGAAAAAAAAAGCTGAAGAGAGCTTGACCCAAGGGAAATGGAGGCGGATAAAATTAGGGAAAGTCGTCCGAGTGATAAGAGTTTTTCGAAGGAATCGCCGAGGCCGGGGAAGGAAGCCGTTTCGAGACCAGTCTTTTTTACTCGGACCGAAAAAAAAACAACGACCGCGTTTTCCATCACCAAAGGTTGCAATCTGAGAAGTTTTCCGCCAATCAGCCGCTTTTTCCGAGGATCCAATGTGATTTGAGACGTCTGATGGGTCATCAGCTGCTGGATTTCGACAGAAATCTAGACACTTTTGAGAAAAAAGTTGTTGAGAATGGTTAGGAATCGTTTTTGGTGATTTCAAGCTATGAAAGTTTAGTTTTTGAATTGTTAAATAACCACTAATTCATACTATTTTACAGGAAATTTGGAAGAAAAATGTAAATGGTCCATAACACTTGTTGAAGTGATTCCCTCCAGAGTTTATTTTTAAAAAAAGGCGTTTCTATTTTTTTGCTGGACCTTTTTTTGAAACCAATTTATGATTTGAAAGGAGCTTTAACCAAAAAGGGAGCTGTTTTTCCAACAATTTTACGATTTTACGAAATTTTCCTTCAAAAAAACAAGGATTTCTTAAATTTTATCAATCTGACGAAACTCGCAAAGGAGTTTATTCAATACGGAGTGGGATGAAAATAATTTCAAAAAAATTCGAATATCTTCCCCTTTTTTTAGCAGTTATAATCGAAATTTTTTTACAAACCAACCTTTTTGAGCTCAACCTACATATACTTTACTATCTAACCTGGTTTCCGAACATTGTACTATAATTTTCGTCATCGAAAACGATTCTCAATGACAATTATGGGTCATTAAATTCAGTATCGCTATTCTTTTTGTTGATAAGCTTTTCCTTTCAAAGTTCCGGCCTCGTCGACCGCAATGCGGCTTTTGGGTAAATTTTTAGTTTTTTTTTAAGGATTCATTTATTTTCCAGCTCTTGTTCTGCTTCTGACCGGCATCGCCGTCCATGCCGTCATCAAAGACATGGGCGCGCCCAACTGGAATTGCGACCCAGAAGTCATGGCGAGGTAAAAACAATAACTTGCGAAGATTTTAATAATATAAAACGTTTTCCAGGAGCAAAAGTGTGCCAACGAGTGCCCACAGTGTCCGTTTCGCCGACATCAAAGTCATAGGGGCTCTTGGAGATTCTCTGACGGTACATTTCTAGCATGAAAAAAAATATTTGAACAGAAAACCGTAATTTTCGGGAATCTATCTATTTCAAAATGAAGATTTTACAACAGTGAATTGTTTCAGGCGGCAAACGGAGCCGGAGCCGAGCCAGGAGACCCGCTAGCTGTAATTCTTCAGTACAGAGGACTCGCTTTCCAGATCGGAGGCGATAAATCGCTCGACCAGCACATCACTTTAGCCAGTTAGATTCTTGAAACTGAGTCGAACTTTATAAATTCCTAAATTTCAGACGTCATGAGAAAGTTCAACCCCAACATCATCGGATATTCGCAAGGAATCGGCTCGGAGAACGTTTGGGAGGTTGGTTCAGATGAAGTTAGGAAAAATAAGTTGAAAATCAAGGTCGCCCATTTGAACATGGGAGTCCCTGGCGACGAGTCGAAGGACATCGCCAAACAGGCCAGAAATCTGGTCACTGCGATGAAAGCTCATTCTGAGGTAAAATGAAATCAAATATTCCTCCAGATCAATCCTGATTTCAGATTGACATCAAGAAAGACTGGAAATTGGTCAACATTTTCATCGGAGCCAATGATATTTGCGTTTATTGCGAAGATAAATACTTCAACGCGACTGTAAGACATATCTTCAACTTTGAAATTAATTTTTTTTCTTGAATTAGGCCCCTCATGGACCGACGACCTTCGAGAAAAATATCATCAAGGCCGTTCAAATCCTCAAGGACAATCTGCCGAGGTTTCGAGACGAAAAGTAGATGAAAAATTATAAAATATTTCCAGAACCATCGTTTCACTGACGGGCATGTTCAACATGAGGATGTTGAGAAAAATCGACCACAAAAAGTATTTCTGTGAAGGATTACACATGTAATTCATAATATATTTACCAAAAAAAAAGCTTCTTTTTAGTTACGAGTGCGATTGCGAGTCGAACAAGGTTTTCACTGATGACGATATTCAACAAGTTTGCTTCGGATACATGGTAAATTTCCATTTATGATTCAAAAAATAATAATCTTTATCAAGGACGCCGAGAAAGACATCCAAACCCAAGGAATCTTCGACACAACCGACGACTTCACTTTCGTTGTTCAGCCGTTCTTTAACGGCATTCTTGACCCTCCGTATGCTGTTAGTATTCGAGAAAAAAATCTAATTTTTGAACTTTTCAAAATCAAGAAAACTGTTTGAAAAATTGATCGAACCATTTTTAGGCCAATGGCGATGTTGACATGACTTTTTTCGCCCCAGATTGCTTCCATTTCTCGGCCTACGGACATGCCAACATCGGAATGCACCTCTGGAACACAATTATTCAACCGGTATTTTTCAAGTTCAAGAATCTTTGACTTTTGAAAGTCTTGCATGTCTTAATATGAAAGATGAAGCAGCCCCGAAAATCAATAAATCAATCACACTTCCTTATAAGAACTCGGCGAGGATTTTAGAACACAATTTAAACTTCTAATCATCAAAAATGATTGAAATTTAGGTTGGCGCCAAGCAAACCAGCGTGAATCTCAGCGACCCAACTGTTGGCTTGCACTGTCCGAGCAAGGTAACTTTTTTTTCCTTTATTTAAAAACTTTTCAAGCTGCGAAAAAAAAAACCTTTTTTTGCAGAGCTGTCCATTCTTCCCGACGACCAAGAACAGTCAAAAATTGCGCGGCTCATTTGACTCTTAATGAATTTGAATAAATATTTCAATTATTTTGTTTTTTTCTTTATGTTTTTTTCGGAAGTTTTTTTCACGCGTTCAATGAAAAAAATTTCTCTAAAATTTTTTTCATCTAGTTTTCGAAAAGAATTGAACGTGGTCTGTTTCGAAGCATTTTTATTGCTTTTTGGGACATTTTCTGTTTCAACCATTGAACAGCAATGAGAAAAACGCAGTGAAGTAATTTTGCAGTTTGACCAAGGCCGATATTTGAACTCCCACGCAAAATACGGTATGTTGCGTCCACTTGGCGCCAAATTTCCACTCGAAACCGATCTGGTCCATTTTTTCTCGTTTTTTTTTCTTTTTCTTTTTCTTTTTTCTGCTGTCGCCAGAATTTCGCAATTCTTCTGCAGCGTTTCAACTAATCTAGTGAGAGACCGCAGTATTCTCTGGGGAACTGCCCCAGTTGTTTCAGTGCCCATTCGCCTCGCGAAGGCCTGGTCGCCTGCTGTGCATTTCATTTTGCAACAAACACTTGAACCGAATTTGCGTAATCTGAATTTTTCACGTTGCTGCTGTTTGAATAATTATCTGCATTCGGGCGTAAAATTTCGTTGAAAAAGATAACGCAGTTGACCTACGGTTATTGCGAAATATCTCTTGTTCTGTGACCAGTTGCTGTTGATTCATTTTTCTATTTTTCTTCGTGTCTAATTTTAAGCTGTTGGTTTTTTTGAATTTCGCAAAGTATAAGGAAACATTTTTTCTAAGGCTAATTTTGAAGAACTTCACTACTTTTACAAAAAGCTATTGCTAAGTTTTAGTCGTTTCGTATAGTCGAAGTGCGTTTAAAGGCGCAAAAAGTTCTAGGTGGCCTAAAAAAACACTTAAAAATTATTTTTTTCTCCTCATTTTCAAAATGGTTTTTAAAATGTTATAATTCAAGCATCATATCAACTGTTAAAAAAACTGTGTTAAAATTTTTTTTTCACGCGTGAGTAAGAAATTTGTTGCAGGAACTTTTCTTTCTAAAAATTTCATAATTTCATTCGCAGGAAAAATGAGAGAAATCGTGCACGTTCAAGCCGGCCAGTGCGGTAACCAGATTGGTTCTAAGGTTTTTGATTCTATTTTAGTACCATGAATAATTTGAATATTCAGTTCTGGGAAGTCATCTCCGACGAACACGGAATCGCACCCGATGGTACATTTAAGGGCGAGCACGACCTCCAACTGGAGCGAATCAACGTATATTATAACGAGGCCAACAGTGAGTGAAAAAGGGATGTTTGAATTGAGTTAATTGTTGTTTTGAGATGGAAAGTACGTTCCTCGCGCAGTCCTCGTCGACTTGGAGCCGGGAACAATGGACTCCGTTCGATCCGGTCCTTATGGAACTCTGTTCCGTCCTGACAACTACGTCTTCGGTATTATCTTTTTTCATTGTCTTTTTGTTTGAAGACAAAACTGAGCGTTTTTTTTCAGATTTATTTATTCAATTCAGGACAAAGCGGAGCCGGAAACAACTGGGCCAAGGGTCACTACACAGAAGGAGCCGAACTCGTCGACAACGTGCTGGATGTCGTCCGAAAGGAGGCTGAAGGCTGCGACTGTCTCCAAGGCTTCCAACTCACCCACTCTCTCGGCGGCGGCACTGGATCTGGAATGGGAACTCTCCTGATCTCCAAGATCCGCGAGGAATACCCTGACCGAATCATGTCCAGCTTCTCCGTCGTCCCATCGCCCAAGGTCTACAACAAACTAAACATGACAAAGTATAAAATTATGTTCTTTCAGGTCTCCGACACGGTCGTCGAGCCGTACAACGCCACTCTCTCGGTTCATCAGCTTGTCGAGAACACCGACGAAACCTATTGCATTGACAATGAGGCTCTCTACGATATCTGCTACCGCACCCTCAAGCTCAGCAACCCCACTTACGGAGACTTGAACCATCTCGGTATGTTTTGCAAAAAAAAAGTGTCAAAAGTTTAATTTCACTCAAACCCCGAACACATGTTTTGGGAATTGAAAACTGCATTCATATGTAATGAGGAGAAAGCAATCGTGGCTTTTGAAGGAGAAAAAAAGTCGCAAAAAAGAATTCTTTCAAATCACTTGGGAGTTGTAATGAAAATAATTAAAACTGCATCAAAAATAAAAAACAATAACATCGACAGAATTTTCTCATTTCATTAATATTGTTCGAAAGTGTTAAAAATAATCTATTTATTTCCCCCTTTGCCTATATCTTTCGAGAATGCCGTAAAAAAACCACATAAATAAAATATGAAAAATAACCTTAGGTGATTTCAAAAGACAATAGAACTAAGGTGAAGTCAAAGTGAAATTACTGACAGTAGAAAACAAGTAGAGATAGAGATGTATTTTTGAAATCGACATACTTCGGATACACTTTGAAAGGAAAATCGAGTCTTCAAGGCGGACATAAAAATTTATAAATTAGGTCAATTTTACAGTGTCGTTGACCATGTCCGGCGTGACGACGTGCCTCCGCTTCCCTGGACAACTTAACGCCGATCTCCGCAAGTTGGCCGTGAACATGGTGCCGTTCCCGCGTCTCCACTTCTTCATGCCCGGCTTCGCGCCGCTCTCCGCCAAGGGAACTGCCGCCTACCGCGCCCAGACCGTTGCTGAACTCACCCAACAGGTATCGAAATCATCCTTTATTTCATAACTTTTTGTTGAACTTCAGATGTTCGACTCGAAGAACATGATGGCCGCCTGCGACCCTCGCCACGGCCGGTACCTGACTGTCGCCGCCATGTTCAGAGGAAAGATGAGCATGCGGGTTTGTCCCAGAGTTTTGCTTTGCAATATTCAAATCTTCATTCTGCAGGAGGTTGACGAGCAGATGCAGAACGTGCAGAACAAGAACTCGTCTTACTTCGTCGAATGGATCCCGAACAACGTGAAGACGGCCGTCTGCGACATTCCACCCCGAGGCCTCAAGATGGCCGCCACCTTCGTCGGAAACTCCACCGCCATCCAGGAGCTCTTCAAGCGAATCAGCGAGCAGTTCACTGGTAATTTTCGGACAAATAAAATGAGTGCCTAAAAATACAACTTTTCGCAGGAATTTTCTTTCTCTGCGCTTCCGGAGTTTATTATGAATTCGCTCGAATAGTCTTCAGAAGTCCGGAGAAAGATTCTTTATAGTGACTAAGTAATTGAAATATAAATTTTCGAAGTTTGCGTTAATCATAGAAAAAGGCCACCCCCAATGTTCGCTTTTTAATCTATATTTTTAAAAGGTTTGCGCAGTTGGCCATTGTCAGGGATCTTTTCTGAACCTTCAGAAAGAGTTTGGATTGAACTTCACACTAAAATGACTTCAGAATTGCCTGGAACTTGGAATAAATTTCAAAATTTTCAGCCATGTTCCGCCGCAAAGCCTTCCTCCATTGGTACACTGGTGAAGGAATGGACGAGATGGAGTTCACCGAGGCGGAGAGCAACATGAACGATCTCATCTCCGAATACCAGCAATATCAGGTTTTTTCTGTCATTTTCCGTCCGTTTCATCAACTTTATCAATTTCCAGGAAGCTTCGGCTGATGACGAAGCCGGTTTGGAAGGATACGAAGGCGAAACTGGCGAGACGTTCGAAGAAACCCAATAAGGTCGCATTCCATATTAACGGCCATTTTCATTGTCAAATGAATAAACATTCTAATTATTTTTATTCGTTTTTTTGTTATGATGTTAATGGTTCATACCATTTTTCATTATCTTTCTTCTGAATGTGAAGTTTGAACATTGTCGTCATGTTTTAAAAAAAAAAACATTTCCCAAGACATATCAATCTATGTATGATTCGGTGTCGGGCGTTAGTAGCCTTGACACCCCATTATAGGTGCTAGAATATCACTTTGAGTGCGCAATGTGTGAGAGAAACTGGCCTTGGGGAAAATCGACGCTTTTTCGAAATCTGGGAACCGCGCCAAATTGGAGAAAAAACGCCCTACCGAACGCTTTTTGGCAAACATCGTCGGCGAGCGTGTCGCGTCGCGTGTGCCATCGCTACGCCCTCTCACATCATTTTTTTTCCTCGTTCACTAGGCAACGTGCATCGATCGCCGTTCGGCCGCTCTTTCTCGCATTCTCATTTAATTTCATTTATTGTCGTTTTCACACCGCGCCATTTTCATTCACTCCGGTCCATTAAGAAACCAAGCCTATTTCAGGAAACCATGTCTGGCAGAGTTTACGTTGGACGGCTTTCTTCTCGAGCTTCTGAAAGGGATATTGAACACTTCTTCCGAGGCTACGGCCGCATTCGAGACATCGTTCTGAAGAATGGCTTCGGTTTTGTTGTGAGTTGTTGTCTTTCTTTTTTCAAGATAATTACAGAATGTTTCGAATTTTATTAAATACGTTTTAGGAATTCGATGACAACCGCGACGCTGACGATGCCGTCTACGACCTCAATGGAAAAGAATTGGCCGGCGAAAGAGTGATTCTGGAATTCTCGAAGAGAGGTCCCCGCAGTGGTGGCGGCGGCGGCGGTGGTCGTGGAGACCGTTTCGGCGGAGGTGGATTTTCTGCTCCGCGACGTGAAAGGTAATTACATTTTTAAAAAAAATTTGGATAGAGAAATTTTTCGAAAGTTGACCGCTAGTTGAAGCCAATTTTGAACGCTCCAGAAAAAGGCGCCAAATTAAATGTGGGACCAATAGAACAAAATATCGATGAGGTCATGCGCCATTCGCGCTTATCTATCGATTCAAGTCACACCGGCTTGTTTGGACATAAGAATGAGCATATAAAGAATCTATAACATTATGACGACAAAGAGGGTTTTCAATACTTGGATCATGTCAAAATTATGATTTTTTTAAACAATTTTACGAAAACTGCTTTGAAAAAATTCGAATAAGAAATCAGAAAGTTTTATTAAATAATGATATGAAAAATCTTCTTTCAGTCGATATGGTCGTCCAATGTCGACCCGTCACCGCATGATCGTTGAAAACTTGTCGACCCGCATCTCCTGGCAGGTTTGTAGAAACAAATGATTTAGAAGAAAAAAATATTACTAATCACTCGAACAATGTTACATAGGCCAACGTCACCTGAACATTACTAATCCATTTCTAGTGTTGGCAAGTTGCAAAAAGTTTCGATTTTTGGAGTGACACAACGGAAAAGCCATAAGATAATGAAATGTTTATCCAGCTCGTTGGTGAAGGCTGTTGGTTTGATGGGTCGTAGTGCGTAAATCGGCATCTGGTCGGATGTAGATGGCCCACCCGATTCGTTTCGTTTCGTTCTCTGGCGCAAGACTGAAAATTTCTGGAGGGCGAGAGATCAACCAAAACTGGCGCTTGAACCACTTTTGTGGCTCACTCTTTCTGATGGAATCCGCGGGGCGTCACTTCTGGCCAAAACTTCCTTCCCTGTCTCTCACTCTCTCGTAGAATCTCTGGTGCCTTACGGAGGATGGCTTTTGGCGGCGCGTTTGAACTGTTTGCGATTTGGCGAGATCAACCCCCATGTGACACCAACGTTGCTTGGTATGATAGACATACGATCATTCAGTTTTTGTTTTGAGATGGAGCTCGAATTAAGATGTTCAGAGATGGTTTCATTCCTGAGCCTTTTAGGATCTCAAAGACATGATTCGCCGCGTTGGATGCGAGGTTACTTACGCCGACGCTCACAAGAAAGCTGCCAACGAAGGGTGAGCAAGACGAGGAAGTAACTGAGGCTTCTCCTTGAAATTTGAAAATAGAAATAAAGAGATATAAATTTTCTCTAAGTTTTGTAAAAATAACTTTTTAACTATCTCAGCGACTTCTCAACTTGTGTTGTTGCAAAAAAGACTTGCTTCAAAGTGTTTGGAAGTTTCAAGGACGAAATCTCCGTTTTTTCCTGAATCTTGTGCAAGTTGGAATATTTTCCCTGTTGCAGAATCGTTTGCTTCGCAACTCGCGAGGACTTGAAACGGTGCATGGACAAGATGCAAGGAGAGGAAGTGAATGGTCGCAAAATCAAGCTCGTCGACGACACTGAGGCCAGTCGCTCCAGGTCGCGCTCCCGTTCGAGGAGCCGCAGCCGTAGACGCTCTCGCTCGCGTTCTAGCTCTAGAAGGTTAGATTTAGAAAAAAAAATATTGTTTTGATCTTTTTAAAATATTCATTCTTTAAATTAATTATGTTTTTTTTTCAGCCGCTCTCGCAGTCCTCGCAATCGCTCGAAGAGTCGCTCCAAGTCTCCAAGGTCTCGCAGCGCTTCGCCCAAGAAGGAAAACGACCGTAGCCGCTCGCGTTCTCGTTCTAGGAGTGACAAGTAACATTGATTTATCCATTCCCATATAATTTTCCAATTTTTTCAGAGGCTCCCGCTCTCCTTCGCCAAAGTCGCCGGGTAAAAATGAAGTCAAAGACGAGGCAATGCGTTCCCGTAGCGCTTCTCCTGCTCCTGCCGATGATTAAAGAATTCTATATACGTTCAACCTGTTAACTTTTGTTTTTTTTTTTTTCGTTTCTTTCGTTTTTCTCTCTTTTCGGCCCATTCACACCGTTTGATTTTTTTTTTGTAATATATATTCACAACTCCGACGCTGTTAAGTTTGATTCTACCGTTACACTTTGGTATTAGATTGATTTGTTACTCGTCGTGATCTCGAAATAAATTTCCTTTTTATCAAAGATGTAGGCTAATAATTAAAGCAAAGTTGATAAAATTATGCAAATGGTGAGAATAATTTGAGAACTTGAAGCTGTAGAAGCCGTGTAGTATAAACCCGTGATGAGATCGTAGCGGAACTGCTCGCGCATCGACTCCCAGAAGTTGAAATCGTCGTTGAACAATTCTGAAATTCTCCTATATTCGAGAAGTGATCTTCAAGGCTGACCCTTATCAATGACAGGATTAGGAAGCACCTTGACGTGTGTCACACAGGAATCTGACCGCGGCCAGATGAAGGCGTCAGTCGAGGGATTCCTGAAGGGCGTCTTCTGATTGGATGGACGTCGTCTGACTTACCCGGTCTTGATGAAGTTGACCAGAGACGTGGTGAAGAAGGCGGCGACGACGTCGTCGTCCTGGGTGAAGTTGAACTTTCGATCCTTGAACACCTTCCAGATGTAAGGGAATTCGCTGCAGTGGTAGGTATCTGAAAGAAGAGAAGGGTTTTGATCGACGTCTCCTGGTTTTGATAAATCTCGCAACTGCGACTCAGTGACGTCATCTTCTCATCATCATAACGTTCTTGAGATTCAGCTGAAAGTGACGTCACCAACCCTTGACAGGGAAGTCCTTCTCGAACTCGGCGTCGTTGAAGTACTGAAAATGGTAGGCGAAGACGTCGCTCTTCTCGGATCTGGCGATGATCTCCCGAACGATGGCCACGTCGAAAAGGGTGTTGGAGTTGATCTGAAGCCAAAAACGGCTAGTAGATGACGTCATTGACAAAAAAGTATTTCGCATTTTAAGAGTCTAGTTGTATATCGAAATGAGGTCATTGAGCGTTTTCAGCGAAATCTCTGACCCTGGTCCTTTGTCGCATGAAGTAGGGATAGTCGTCGGCGTCGGTGGCGTTGACCGGCAGATAATAATCGGAGATTCTGTTGAAGGCGTCCGGAGAGTCCTCGCCGTACTTCTCGGCCAGACTCGCGTTGATGTACTCCTCGACGGTCGGCCGCAGAATATACGGGAAGATCTCGTTGGACGACTTCAGATAGGCTGAACTTCGATTGGATCGTTATCATTTGGTTTAGAAAAATCTGCCTTTTTTCAAGAAAAGTAAGATATAGCCTGTGTACCACGACTTGGAATTTCACCGAACGAGATTCCGCTGTGCCGCTGCGCGCCTTTGCAAACCTTGGTCGCGCTTTTAATTTTTTTTTTCTTTTATTAAGGTACTCTACTTTCACATCAATAACAATCAATTGAAAGCGTGACCTAGAAAGACGCTTCGCGAACGCACGCAGCGGCACAGCGGAATGTCGTTCAGTGAAATTTCAAGTAGTGGCACACAGACTATAAATTAAGTTATCAGCTATAGAAGAATGAAAAGGGACAGTAAAAACAAACAAGGAACGAAAGATTTTCCGATGATTCCGGGAACCAACTCACTGAAATAGAGAGCTTCGAGACTCATCACGCCCATCAGAACCGGCGGCTGACTTTCGACGTCGTTGATCAATTCAGAAGTCGGCTTGGGGAAAAGTTCGTCGCCGACTTCTGGGAATAGCGTGGCTCCGACCTCAAACAAGTTGAGACCGTGAGAATTTTGAAACTTCTTAACTTTTTTCTTGAATATTTAGCTTTTAACAGATCTTTCTCAAAACCATTTCCAAAAAAAGCAAAACTTTAACAAAATAAATTTTTTTGGCTTCAAACTCAACAATTTACCTTTTTAATTTTTAATAAACTCACCTGAGCTCGATAAATATCGTCCAATGACTTTCCCTGGAAACAGTTGATCAGTTCAGCCGAGGAGTTCTGTTGACATTCCAAGTTTGTTAAAATCCTTCAAAAAAATCTATTTTTATTATCTGAAAAAAATTCACATTTTAGTAGACTGAAAATTGGTCTTTTTGTACTGCGGCATGATCCAAGACGAGCCGCTCAGTTGGATGCATCTTTTGATAAAACCTGAACGGGAAATTTTGGAATTCAGAAAACTCTGGATTTGAAGTTGATGATTATTTCCTAACTTAATTTTTGAAAAAAGCTTTTTTTCATACATCATTCTTTGAAAAAGACCTTTCAGAGGTCGTAACCAATAAACGGAGGGCCATAAAAGTCAATTTCACAGCTTTTTATCACGACATCGCAAGTTTTTCAAAGATCGGCGCGATAAAATTTTATGGTACATTCCGGAAAAGTGCAATTGGGGCTCTGTATTTTTTTCCTAGTTAAAAACTGATTTTTAATTCCGAAAAAACCTCTAGTCACAGGAGAAAGCGACAAAATACTGGTACTCATCGATCCGGCACTGTGTCCCATTAAAGTGACGTCACTTGGATCACCACCGAAAGAATCGATAGTCGCATTGACGAATCGAAGAGCCAAGGCCTCAAAAAGCTTGGTTCAGAAAATTCTCGGAGTTTGAAATTGACAAAAAATATTTTAATCAATTTTTCATGGGATTTTTTTTGCATTTGTAATGAGTGTAAATAAAATTCAAGAAACGTGATTTTTTTTTTCAAGAGTTTGAGTTTGGATGAAATTGAAAACCTCTTTAGAAACGCCAGAGTGGTCCCTAAAGGGGCATCCTCATGGTTACTTGAAGTTTCCCCTCTAGGGATCACCTGATTTTTTCACTTTAGGGAGCTCTATTTTGTCCCCAGCAGCGGCTGTTTTTTTTTCCCTATAGGGACCACTCTGGCGTTCCTAAGTCTGAAGGGGGATGAAGAAATTTTCATTTTCAATCTAATATTTCACTTTTCTGACCTGATCCCAAATACCGAGGTTACAAGGAAAAAGGCCCGAATCACAGCCAAGACTCAGAAAACCGAGGGCGCCAAGTCGGTACTGAATGAGGACGACGACGATCTCCTTCGAGGTGAAACGGTCGGCAAAAGGATTCCAGGCCTCGTCGACCCCAGAACCCTCCTTGAAGCCGCCGCCGTGGATGAACACCATGACAGGTAGCTTGCCGGTCTTCTGAATATATCTCATGGACGTCGATCATCTTCAGAAGCCAACTCGATGCGTCGGCGTGAAGATGTTGACGTAGAGACAGTCCTCGCTGAATTCTGAAGCGTTGGCCGGCGCCGCGCCGGGAATGCACGCCTTCTGGTACGTCTTCGCGTCCAGAGGCATCTCCCATGGCTTCACCAGACTCGATTTCTGAATAAACCAGAAATTCGATTTAAAAATGCCGAGGAGCAACGCTATCAATGATTTTGGAACCCGGAGAATCTCTAATCGGATTATCTTTCGAACCTTCAATCGCTGCCGGGAGTCGATTGGTTCAGCGTATGGAATTCCTTTGAAGGCGTCGATCGAAACTCCAGAAGACGTCAGGAACTGGGAGCCGACGACGGCGCCGAAGGGCGTCTGGTAAGTGACGTCGCCGGCTTGCCCGCCGATTATCATCAGAATCCAAGTGGCGGAAAAAAGGTTCATACTGGAATCTTTGTCAAACTTCAAATAAAATGAAAATGGATCGAAAAACAAGAGATATGGGAAAAAAAGAACGCGCGAAAAAAAAGGTCGCCGAAAAAATTGGAACAATCAAAAATGGGTGCAACTATCACTACTTGCTGATAACGGCGGCAAATCCTATGAAAACTTGAAAATAAGCTCTTTTCACGTTTTTCCTTCTTGTGAACCGAATTAGTCGATTAAAACTTTATGTATATGATTAAAAATCTGTGTGAGCATGCAATTAATTACCGATTTCACATGAAGTGTGGGGTTAGGACCTGATAAAAATAGGTATTGAGCAAAAAACAGAAAGGGTACATGTCAATATGGCAATACTCGACCCCTATCAACTTTAGGGAAGAAAATTCTCGAAATTGGCAAGAATTCAATGAAAATGAAGACGTTAATCGCTGGCCTAATATCTACATAATTATCGCAAGTTAGAAAGTATTGAAATTCACAAGAAAATGGTTTAATATTAATCTTCGTCTTCAGCGTCGCTGCTGTGGACAGAAGGACGACGTGAGGTGGCCGCCGAGGGAACCTGAGGAAAATGAATTGAAAACAGGTAAAATCGAGGAAAAATGGTGTGTCCATTGGTTTTAAAGTGCAAAGAGTGCAACGGAAAAACGAAAAACTCTCACTTTTCCTTCATTCTCTCGGATGATGCGGTCAATGTCGGGGTGCAGGCGTTCCAAAGCCAGACGGCGGCAGTCACTGAAATGCAAAAATATTGTTTTTTTTCTGGAATGTCCTGCTAAAAAGCTACAAGTTTCAAGTCTGAAATTTCTTGAATGCGGAAAAGGATCATTATTTACCGATAGAAGACGCCGAGGCTGTTCCAATCGAGCAAGTCGCTCAATCTTTCCGTTCTGTTGCGCTGGATGATGCGTTGTCGTCGCGAATAACCGCAGAAGTCGTACCTGGATTTTTTTTTTTGAACAGAATTTTGTATATTCTTTTTCAAATGTTCTGCAACCTACTAATAACTGGAATCTATAGATTTCTCGAAAATCTCAGAAATATATATCCAAAACTTATTTTTCAAAAAAAGTAGCAAAAAAACGATAATCTTGCTGTTCTCATACAAAAATTTTTTTTATTTTATTTCCTCAACGAGGATTTTTTTGAAAAAAACTCTACCTTCAGAAACAGTCATCATAGGCTTCCTATGAAAAATTATAAACTATAAAAAGAACCTGTTAATCCTTTTTTTATTGCTTTTTTTAATCTTTTTCCAGTGAATTTTTTTCATATCTCTTTAACCTTTTTTTAAGTGCAATATTTGGCCCCATATTATTCTTCTTACCAGAGACGGGCGCAGATGAATTTTTGAATTGCGGAACGCGGAAAAAAATTTAGCACAATTTTTTGGATTTTAAAAGTAATATTAATGCAGTTTCGACAGTTAGCGGGTGAAAAAAATGGACTGTAAAAAATTCAAAAAGAATCAAAGAACCTTTTTTGAGAAACCGAATGGAAAAACGAGGAATGCTGGAAATTTTTTTTCGCGGATTTTGGAACTTTTTTCCATTTTGATGAAACCAACATAATCTGAGCAAGTTGGCGAATCGAGTCTTCGGCATTCTTGTATCGCCTGTCGACGACGTAGATGCCGTAGCCTTCGGGATCTTCGACGTTCTCCTGCATGAAGCAGCCGAAGCCCGACAGGTTGGTCGACACCGACGGAATGCCCATTACCGTACACTCGGCCGGCGTGTACCTGCACATCTTACGAGTTCATCTTCGTTCTTTGACGTTCTACAGACCCCCAGGGTTCGTAATAGGACGGGAAGACGCCCAAATGGCAGCCGCGGACGAAGTCTTCGTAGTCAAGGCCTATGAGAGGGGAAACAGAAGAGAGGAATTCCGGATGGAAGACGACTTTGACACGATCCGACCTGTCGTTGAACAGGTTGGTCCGTCGCAGGGCGTCCAGTACCTAAGATATTTTGAAGTTTTAGAGATCAAGATTTGAATAAACACCTGATCATCGCTTCGAACCATGTTATGAGTGCAAATCGGGGGAAGTTGATGTTTCTGGGTGGCCATTATACAGCGTTTCAGCTGAAAAAGGGAAGCTTCGACTTCAACTTTTTTTTTTTCTTGAAATTCTTTTTTTCTTCATCTTTATTTTTGCTTGGAAATTGTCACTTCAAGACGAAATTTGTTAGAAAAATCAAGTTCCAAACTCGTATTTTCTACATTTCTCCACATTTATTCCGTCAATTCAGCTCTTTTTAGTGACAAATGATGCATTCTGATTTCATTCTGAAACAGAAAAAAACAAAAATTGAAAAGAATAAAAAAAGAGATAAGTGAAAAATTTACTACCCCAATCGAACTTTAGATTTTTTTGCCGCTTTTTTTTCTTTGAAAGTCCACGATGATTATATATAGTTTAGCGGCTTGAAAATGTATAAGTTAGCGGCTTGAAAATGTCTCCTACTTCTGACCATGAGTTAAACTTTTTGAAATTCTCTCTTTTTTTTCACAATTTTTGCGTAATCATCACGTCATCACGTGTGAAAGCGTTTTTTTCGATGGAAAAATTTTTCCTGTTCTCTGGAACTTTTTTTTTGAATTTGAAATCATATCTTGTTTGTATGCTGATCTGCCGTTGCTGCCTTTAAAATAAATTCCGTGGATATCGAAATTACGTCTGAATCTCCAAAATCCAGTTTCATCTTTTTCTTTCTCTGACGCCTATTTTGAATTTCGCAAGATCGCTTTGAATGCGACATGAAGATAGGTTTAAAAAAATGAAGCGGAATTTTATGGAAAATAGTTCAATTTTTCAACTAAAATCTGTTTCTCCCCCTTGTTGGGTACTTTTTTTTTCCCTTCTATCGACCTGAATACGTTCGGCAGCAGTCAAAAGGTCTTCGCCGTCGGGAATCGAGCCACGCAAACACGTGTCGAAGATTCGTTGGCCGACGCTCTCCTTGATCCGATCTACCGTTTCTTTGAGCTGCTTGGTGACGGCCTGGCCTTTGAGCGACTCGACGTTGAACGAGTTGGCCGGGGCTGCAAACATCAGTTTTATGTTTTGAAATTACTATTTACCTAGAAAAAAGGAAATGACTGGTTCATTAAATAATAGTCTAGGATGTATCACAATAGCTTTATTGAAAACAGACTTCAAGTTTTTCTTGGTAGCATTTAAAAATTCGTTCAAAAATCGAGAATCTGACTATCCGAAAGCTTCATCAAATTTTCAAGAATGAAGATAGGAACTCATAGGAACAAAAAAAGTATGAGACTCTTGAAAAAAAAAAGAAGCTAAAAAAACTTGGATTCAAATTCAACATTTTAAAAACGTATTTTTAAATTTTTTTCGAACAACTTGTGACAACAAAAAAACAACCTTTTTTTATAAACGTTTACCTTCGCCCTGACTGATTTTTTTTTTTTTTGAAACTGACCAGGATAAATAAGGAAAGCGACGACAGTGACGCCCATGTGTCTGGGATCACTGGTCGTCTTCAAATAATGATTTAGTCTGGCCAGGGCCTCAATGAAGAAGTCGCCGCCCTTGTTCGAAAACTCGTATCTGGACTCAGAGAGGTGTTATAGGATAAATGATGGTTTTTCCCAACCGTCCAGCAGTGAAAAAGTACAAAGTGCGGTCCAAGTCGAAATCGAGATGGCCGTGGAAATGACCGCGAACGAAATTGTTAATCTTCTCTTTGTTATTAGCGTGCAAATTCTAGAATTCCAGGTAATTAGTGTAATTTTGAAGATTGGAATTACTTGGAATTCATGTAAAGCGGCGAATTTGACGACATTCAAGCCATTGGGGGTGAGGATATCTGGTTTTCTGTCAAGGAGATGCTCCGCTTCGAGACCCGTTATCTCGGAAACCGTGGTGAAGACGTGCGCCGCGTGACAAGCCGCCCGTTCGAGGCAGTATTGGTGGTATATCTGCAGGAGATATTCATTTTCAAGGGTCCGGGGACCTTTTTCGGACCTTTCTCTTGCCGGCCTCGGCGTCCAGGTCGAACTTGTCGATGTTGTTGTACAAATCGGCGCCGCCGGCACAGAGATGGCGACCGAGGAGAGTGGCGTGGGTCGTGTAGACCGTCGCGATGTCTAACTTCCACAGTCTCGTCATCAAGAGTCCGACTCCTGGAAAATTAGTGGAGTACTGACTGAAGTTTCCATGATTCCGACAGGGAGAATAGTTTTGAATCGATTCAATGAAAAAAAGGCTAAAATTCAAAATAAATCTTCTTTTTTTTTCGAAAACAGAGGTTTTTCATATATTACATAATTAGTTTAAAAATATCGCGATTTTCACAAAAAATTTCAGCAAAATTTCAAAATTTAGATCCTTATCTAGAAAATGGAAAAAGTTTGGTTACTGTTTTTCAAGGACTTCAAAATTCAGTGGAAAAAAATTTAAATTTTTTTGTGACAAGCGATACAATTTTAATCACAAAAACGCGGTCTGAAGAGCACATATAGAAAGTCTGAGCTTAAAATTTTGAAATTTCCCAGAATATCAGGCCTTAAGATACGAAACCGGCTATGAAGATAAACTTTCAACGTGAATTCTATTTGACAGCTCCGGATTTCTCCTGATAAAAAATTCTATTTTTATTTTCTCACCAGCTTGCCACTCGTGGAAATGGGCCACAACGAGGGGCTGGTAGCCGGTGACGGACTCGCGGAAATGTTTCAGGAAAATGGCGACCATGAAGCCCAGGATGACGGCGTCGTTGCTCTCGATATCCTCGTGGGGGATACCGACCTTGCACCTTAAGTGGTCCCTTCTATCAGTCCACGTCGGGAGCTGCTCCAACTTCTCATAGAGCTCGTGCTTCCACTCGTTCATCCGGTCGGCGCCGGATCCGAGATCGAACAAAATCACTTTCGGGTAGCCGTCGATCAGCCAACGGCCGTACATACACCGGAATCCGTCCTTGTGGAACTGACTCATCGCCGCGCGGATCGTTCTGTGGATTGAGAAATTGATATTTGAGAGCAGTCTTCGTTTTTTCTTCTTATATAATAAAGTGTGAACGATGAGAAAGGGATAGAAAAAAAATAGGAAAAAAAGAACGGAAAAGTTATACCGTGCTTTGAGTTTTGAGCCCTAAAATGGACGGCTTACAAGATTCTGAAAGTCTCAACTTGCACAATTCTCTAGTTTAAGAGAGAAAAGACACCTCAAATTCAAAGAAAGCCCTCGAAATCCGTAAAAACAAACCTTTGTGGGCCATTGAGGTCTCATTTCAAAAAAATAAAAAAATAAAAAAACTATAAAGCTATGCAATATGATACTTTTTTTATTGTGCATCAAAAAGAGTTTCTGGTAGAATTTTAGGAAAAATTCAAATAATTTTTTTAAAAAAATCATAAGAGTTAGTTCTTTTTATAAAAATAGACCAGCTCAAAAATAAATCAAGCCATTTTTTTCTGTTTCGAAAACGAGCCGTTAACCTCAACTTGATGAAAGATATTTTTTCGAGATAATTGGAGATTCTTGAATGAAAATCCTTATTAATGAACTTTCAACCTAATGAATCCTATTTCAAGCGAAAAAAAACAGTTCGCGAACCTGTTCTCGGGCTCAATTTTCTCCACTTCCAGCCGCCATTTTTCGTCTTTCATCGGCCCGAACATACAATATTGGTCGCCTAGCTCTTCGGTACTGATTTGGGCTTTGCTCCGTAAAACTGTGTAGATTCCTCCGACCTTAAATCTAATTGCTATTAGGATTTTCAAAGCTGAAATAAGATAAACTTTTAAGATGATAAAACTGAGTGAAACAATGAGAAGATTAAGCTGACTTTACGTTAAAAAATTCGAAAAACTGTACCAAAATGTGACTATTTTTCAATTTTAGTCTGTTTTCTTTATTAATAATGATTTTTAGACGTACCAGCGTAAACCCTAAAGTGTTCACTCTAAAATTCAAGAAAATTCCCTGAATCTCGGAAGAACAGTTACGAGAAATTCACTAAAAGCCGTGCTCAAAACGATTACGTAAAATTCAAAACAGTCGTCAGAGAAAGAAAAAGACAACTAAATTTTGGAGAGTCAGAGATAATTTTTCATTTCGCGGAAATATATTTGAACACGGCATGATTTTAGATCCTTGAATGCAGTTGTTTTATTCAATTTTTAAAATTTTTTTCAAAAAATTCCTTGAAATTTCTTCTACTTTATTTTTTTCTTCTCTCGGAACCAATGAATATTCTGCGATTCCGACCTTGTTGGCGACCTCCCAGGCGGTCTCGAAGACGAATCGGCCCTCATCGCGGGCGGTCTTGCCCTCGTCCAAAGGATACACCTCCTGGTCGTCCAGCTCCTCGCCGGCGAGCGTCTTTGCAATCTGTCAAAGTCCAAACTTTCCACTGAGGTAAACAGCAAATATTTGTAGGTGGTCAAAATAAAACTGAAAAAAAATGACTTGGGTTCGTCGGGAACACTCGGCTGCCACCACCGAAATAAACACTCGAGAGCGTGATGTCATGGGAGGACAAAATACAGATTTTCATCTGAGTTTATGCTTTTCAATCAAAAATTATTGATGAAAAAACTCAAAAAAAAACTTTCAATGTTATCTTTTTTAAAAATTTTGGTCAAATTACGAGCCTCAAAAAAAGTTTCGAAAATGTTTAAATCTGATAAAAATAATAATCGACCTCATGATTGAAACTAATATAATTAGAAAAATTAGCTGAAATAAACTGAAAAAAATTATTCAAAAATTTGATAAAAAAATTAGACCTTTTTAAGGAAATCATGCTTCAGATTCTTTTCCAGCAAGAATGAAACATTTATCTCGGTAATTTTTTTCCGGTTTAAAAAGAAACTTTCAAAAAAGTAAGCAGCTTGAATGTTCTAATTAAAACTACCTGAACACCTGATTTTTTTCAAATCGAAATGTAAAACGATTTTAAGCGGGAAACAGATTTTTATTTATTTTTTAATTTTTCGACCATCGAAAATTCTTTGATCAATTATTTTCAAACCCAACAATCGAGTGCAATAAACGTATTGTTTTGTTGATCAAAAATTGCCAATCGTCCTTATCAATCGTGCCTTACGAGAAATCAACCCATTAAAAGTCAATAAAAGGGTAATCATTTGCGTTAACCGAACGATGGGAAAAAAGTTTTGAAAACCTTGTTGGAAGACAAATTCCGCGGCATTCCCTGGTGCGGATGTCCTGACATGGTTAGCTGAAAAAAACATAATAAAAAAATAGACTGAAATTCATTAAAAAAACACGATATTTGAGATTCAATTAAGATGGTTTTATTTTTCGCTAAACGTTTATGAAGTAGAGAAGACGGAGCAAAAATGACAGAAAAGCTGAAAATATTTGAAAATATTTTTCGGAAAAGAAAAAGTTGCAAGACACTTGTTTACGCGGTGTGATAGTCGCAGAATGCGATGAAACAGCCAATCTCTCCCCATTCTCAATCAAAAAACAATCAAACACTAATTGAAAACCTTTGTGTCCTTTTCAAAAAAGGGATATTATAAAATTAAAAACTCAAAGAAGACCCAATGGTAGGGGATTAACAGAACACCAATAAACATTTTCACGCAAAGCGAACAAAAAATAGAAGGAGCCGAGAGAGAAGAGTTCTGCGAGAAGCTGCACTATCGATTTTGTGAACCTTCGTTTTGCCACAATTCCACAACATCCCAGCTGCTGCTAAGATGACAAGAAATGAAGAAAAACAAAGGTAAACAGCAAATGATTCTGGACAGTGGAACACAAACGGAGAAAGAAGCGAAGGAAAAAGAAAAGAGCGGCTCTCACAGCGTTTCATTTCGTCGTTTTCCTTCTCCTCTCTCAACATCAATATCACAAACAAAACTTGAAATCAACAGAAGCGATATCAAAATTGTTTGGGAAACGAAAGAAGGCTTAAAGTTATAAATAACTCTGTTATTATTTCACCGTTTGCAAACTACAGATGATCTTTTCAAAAAAAAAAAACAATAAATAGATTGTGTCAATCTTTAATTATAATAGAAATGTATGAATCAAATAGAAAAGAGTTAAAATTTGAATTGTCAAAAACTTGACCCGTCCTGTAGGTCAAAATGCGCTACGTTTTGATAGATTTTGGGCATTTTCGCTAGTTTAAAATCAACACTTCTCAGTGTGATGGAAAACAGGGTAGCTGTTCTCTTACGTGACTGCAGAGTGCAACCCCAAAACGCCTGAGAACCAACAATCTGATAAGAAAACAGCGTTGAAATCAGATTCCACTGAAAAACTTTAAAAAAACTTTTAACGGGACTTTCACAGGGACAGATAAAACTTTTTATATGTTCATAACAGGCTGGCGTTCTTGATTTAACGACAATTTGAACAATAAATTAAAAAAATAAGTTTTCAATGAAATTTTTCTGAAAACGACCGATACGCCACACGCACGCAGCGCGTGTCACTGGAGCGCGGATGTAATTTTCTCTACTTTTTTAAAATTTATTTTCAGTCCTTTGTTTCTTTTCTCATGAAAATCGTCTTCAAATTAGTAATTTATTCAAAGCATCAGCACATTAAAGTCATTAAGTTAGTGAAAGAAGTAAGCTCAGCGTATAAAAGTGAGGAATAATTTCAATTAGCGCCGGGAAATTCGTTATTGTCGAATTTCTTCGCGCTGGCGATGATCTTGGCATTGTTCCAAATGGCTTTGTCCTTGACTTCATCACTGATCGCAGCCACAATCATTGTCTGAAAAGAAGGTCTTCCAAAAAGCTTTTAGAAGAAAATCACCTTGGCGATCTCAGTGGCCGATGAGGCTAAGCTATCCGATACCAGTTTGAAGGGTTTTATCACAAATTTAGCGATAGATTCCATAACGCGGGTTTCTAAAGTCTCCGGTTTTCATTAAGGAAAAAATTGGAAGAAAAAACCAGGTCGTGGAGCTTCGATCAGTCCAGGCCTGATGATGACCAACTTTTCGAATCCGATTTCAGCTATCTCCTTTTCAACTTGACCCTGCAGTTTGAAAATGTTGAAAATTCAAGTTCTGGAAGGATTTTTCTATGGAGAAGGCTTTTTTGAATTTTTGACTCGAGAAACATTTCAAATGAGAAAAAAAGCAAGTTGTTGGAGCATAACGCTTATATTAAGCTGATTCTAGAATGTTCTATAGTTTTCCATACATTTCTAGTCTCATTACGTCATAGGGATCATGTGTAAAGGTTTCCCTTCTAGAAAGTTCCACAATCTTCTCATTTGTTCTCTACCTTTCTAGAAGGTTCCACATTGTTCTCGAATGTTCTAATGCTTCCGGGACAGATCTCTAAAACTCTGGAATGTTCCATCTTTTACTCTAATCTAAATACTATCTAAACTCCACCTTTATTCCGGAACATTCCATAATCTTCGGGATCTCTTCCCTCAGCACTATATAACACCTTGTTTGTTATTGTAAAAGGGCTAGCATAGTCTAGTTTCTTGTTACTAATAAATCTTCTACTACAACGTCTTCACTGGCCACCTGCGGGCACAACACAAGTGTATTTAGTCATAGAATGAAATCGCCTTTCTCTTTATGTAACTAAGAAAAGGATGAGTCGACGATTTCAAGTTGAAAGGGGAGAGGAAAAATTAGAGATAAAATCTAGAAAAATATATATATTTATCATAAAAATCACGTTAATGAAGTTCTATCCATGTACTAAAATCTTTAGGCACTTATTTTACTTGGCGGTTAGAAATTTCTTGAAAATTGGCCAGAAAATTTCTTGGTGTAACAAGTGAAGCTCTTGAAAAAAAACCTACAAAACTTCCCAGTTTTCGAGAAATGATGAAATCATGAAAAAACCTTTTCAATTGATTTCGAGAGTCTTGGAAACGTCTTTTTTCAAAAACTAGAAATTCGTCCAAGTTGAGACTTACAGGACCTTGATTTTCTACATCAAAGAGTGTTCTGGCAAATTTTCGTTGAATTCCCAACCGCAAAGTGAAATTTCCTTCCTTGTGAGAATCCTATCAAGATTATTCTGTTCAATTTTGAAGCGCTTTTTGTGCTCAATTTTTTTTTGGTCATTTTCAAAGCTTCAATATCAAAACCTTGGTCTTCGGGTACAAAAATGGAGAGCATTCGTTAGCGCCAGCCGACGAGATGAGAACAAATTGCTTGACGCCATGTTCCTTAGCTAATTTCGCAGTGTTAACAACATAATCGTGGTCCACCTTCACGAATCCGTCCTGAAAATCATTGATTGAATAAAACTTCGGAATTGAGGTCCCACAGCTCCAGACTTGGCTCTGGTAGTTCCCAAGGCGCAGAATCCGACATCGATGCCTTCAAAGGAGTCTCCACTCTTTTCCAGTTCGTCGAAGTTGACCGTTTTCTGTTCCTGAATAACAAGTTTTGATTTTGAAATTCTTGAAAAACGAACAAATTTTTCGGCTGTAGCTCCGTCGACGTTTCTCCGGGCGAGGATGGAGACCTCAAAAAATATAAAAATTTTAAAAAAAAGTCAAGAAAATATAGAACCTTGTCAAAATAGCTGGCGGAGGCCAAAAGCTTGACGAGCTCACTTCCAACGGCGCCTGTGGCTCCGACGACAAAAGCACTTGGCATCTGATATAAGTCAAAATCCAGGTAGAATCAATAAAGTTTTGAAACCAAGATAAAAAGATGAAGGTACAATCATCCTTGTTTCAAAAGAAAAACGAAAGTTATCAAGTTTTTATTAGCAAGTGAGAAAAAAAAGGGTTTCCATTTATCACCGAGTAAAGCTGTTATGAGTAAGGAAAAAATTTCGACTCGTGATTGAGAAAAGATAAAACCAGTGACGATAAAGTCGGATTTTTCCTACCATGAATATAGAAAAATATCGGGAGAGAAAAATAAGAAAATGTGCAATAAATGCTACAATTTATGGACACGCTATGAGGATTCCTAAACACTATCACAAACGGAGCTAGAAAATTCCTGAGTGGTGAAAAATGGAAATCGGATTCGGGCAAGAAGTGATGAATATGGCAAAAATTATGATTTTTGAATTAATTGGTCGCATTTGGAATGGATCAACAAGCTGTGGTTTAGCACAAAGTTCGATTTCGACGAGAAAAATATAATGAAGTCTATAAATTTTCCGTCATGTAAAAACAGCTCCGCAGCCGCAACGCGATAAATTTTCAATGCGAAAAAAATTTCCGGTAGGAAATCATAAAAGAATTTTTGGAGAATGGTTAACTCAAATTAATGTGAATCGGTGCTACAGACATACATGAAAGTTTATACATTTTTGATATGTAGGGTCTTTTTTTCTACTGAAACTGCGTTTCAAAAAAAATATGAAAAACAAAAAATTCTCACAAAACGATAAGAATATGTTAAACTGGAGCGACTTCAAAAAAATAAGTTTACTGTAACATAATTAATTTAAGTGTCAACCCATCAAAATAAATCTCATTGTCTCTATTATATTTTTCCCTACAATATTATAATCGCTGAACGAAAGTTTCGTGAAAAAAAGTTATAAATTTTAGAAAAAAATAAACTTTGAAGCCTTTTTTTGGTAAAAATTTTTTTCCAGGACTATTCTCAATCATTTTTTATTCTCTTTTTATTTCAAATATGACCCAATTCTGAAGAAAATGATCAAAAAGAGGAGATTAGAGAAGAAAAAAGTTCATGTACAGAACTGAGATCGGGAAGGATTTCGACGCCTTTCTCTGGTCTCTTTTTCAACTTGGACATTTCCACGACAAGGAAAACTTCCAGTTGAGATTGGAGATTCGTCAAGAAGGCAGAATCTCTGGCGGAGACCGTGAGAAGGTATTGTCGGGGTTCTCTCAGGACTTTCAGTTGGAAGTTCTGGGCTTTGGGTCCGACGCAGACGACGCAATCGACGTCGGTGACGTCGGCGGAGATCTGAGGATGGCAAGAAGTCGGAAGAATGGCCTTGAAGACGTTGCCCGTCTCGACGATGTCCGGACATCCACACAGGAGGTCGACCAGCGTGTGAGGGAGCCGAATTTCGAAACTCTGAATTTTTTCGGGTTTCTTGAAAGTTTTGGAACGGAAATGTTTTGGAAATAGAAGAATGAATAGCAGCAGCCAGCCAAGAAAGAAAAAGAAACACAATTGATTTTTGTAAGGGAGAATATTTCAATCGCATCGTTCTAGATTGTTCAGTAAAATGGGTATAAGTGAGAAATTAACAGCTCTTTGTAGAGTTATCAATAATTTTCATAAACCTATCGTTTTTTTTTTAAATTTTGATTCTCTTAATTTATTTGTATCCATTTTTGGTAGTATGAAAAATGATAAAATTGATCGCTCAATATCTGTTCAAGCTAAAGGTATCTTGTATTGAAAATGTTCCTAAAAATTTGCTTAAATTTTATAACTGAAACGTATGGCCGTCAGGTTTATCAGGAAATTTTCTTGAGTTCTATAAACTAAAATGAATTTCCAAAATTTTCTTTTCTTTGATTGCATTGAAAGCGTATATTTCCCACATAATTGTTTCTCTTCAACTGAAGATACTTGTTTTCCAGGCCCCTCCAGGAATTTTCTTCAGATTGATAAATAAATCTAATTTTTTTTTCTGAAATAAAAAATTCAAAGTTTGTGGAAATAATAAAATAAGTTTTTTGAAATATTTCATATCGCTGCTACAAAAAAATTGATAACATCATTCAAAATCTTAAAATGACAATTTTGATACAGTCGTTTTGCCGAAATTCCCGAAAGTTTTTGGGCGAATCAACTAGGAAAACGGATCGATTCTCCTAAATTTTGGAAAAATCAAGGAAATTCGGAATTTTCTGTATTTCCGAGACATGAAAACAACTAAAAACTGCCAAAAAAAGAAAAAAATATTAGGATCAAAAAAACTTCAAAAAAATTTAATGATTCAGCTTTTTGAAATTTCTCCCCTTTTCAAAGTAATCACAGCTTTTCAGGTTCAAAACATGAAACTATATATTCTCAGAGACTTTCGGAGCACCCAAATATCAAAATGTGTTGAAAAGAGAACTTTACTCTCTCTCAGAAACGTCAAGAAAATAAAAATAATTTCTAGAACCTTTGGGTTTTCATCCTAAAACAAACTCCTCAAGTAACAAAAACCCACCCCGAAAACGGAAAATCTCGGCGCGGCAGGAGTAATTTTCTTCGAATTTCCAGCCGCTACAGCCTTGCTGGCACTCGAAACCGTAACCTGCTGCCAAATCGTCAAAACCTGTGTATCCAGTTGAATTCGGAACACTTTGCTCACGTCTCCGAGACGGAATTCTCTGAAAAATCAAATATTCAAGTTAGAGACGATTTTCTTGCCGTAGAATAGTCAGGTAGAAGAGGAGAGGGAGTCTGAAGTCGCCGTCTTCGACGAGAAGCTGAAAAGTCTTGGAGTACCCGGCCGGCAGGTCTCCGATTCGTATCGTTTGCGAGCAACACACTGAAGAAGATAATTGCATTCATATAAAGGCGCACAAAATGTATGAAATGCTAATTTGCAAGGAGGAAAGGCCGACTTGAAGCTTCAATGTTTCTTTTTTGGCAGGTCTTATGAGAAAAGTGCAAAAAATGACTGATCATTTTGGATTTCTGTACTGTTATCACGCCAAAAAAAAAGCAACAAACTTCTTTTTCCTTTTTTTGACGATAAATTTCCGACTTGCAGGAGCTATGATTTGACTTTTAAAAGTGGCACTACTTTTTTTTTTCGACTTACATGGATGAAATACCTTTTCAAAACGTTATAAAATCTGTTTTGAAAGTAAAAAAAGGAATCTTAGAAATGATAATTGGCTTAAAAAAAACGCAAAAAAAGGTTTTTCTCAAAAATTCCCACTAGAGAGTTAATTTTTTTTTTGCGTGGTTCACTAAATGCTGCTGAAGTGTTATACGCTGAAAAATAACACAAAAAAAAGTAATTTTTTTTTTTGATTTTTCTTCTCAAAATTTGTTCACGTTGCTTGTTCGAAAAGCGACTCACTTCACGAGGGATTTTGAAATTTTGATAAAACTTGGTTCAAGTGTACCTGTGTGTGAAAACGTCTTTATTTCAAAAAAACTCTCGGAACGGGGCGGCATAGCTCAGCTGGCATAACTAATTTCTAACGTCCGCAAGGTCGTAGGTTCGAGTCGCCCCGAGGTCGACCAAGCCTTTCATCCCTCCGGGGTAGATAAAATTAAGAAAATTGGGAACAGTAAACCGTTTTTTAAACAGTTTAAAACGGGCCTTCTTCCGAGTTCTTTCTTAGGAACTCATGCCATTGCGTGCAGAGCTAAGATCTTGACTTTCAAAACCCGACCACACTAGGATTTTTTAGCTGGTTTCAAGTACGTAGTTTTAGACAAGTTTCCTCAAAAGTTGAAAGCGAGCTAAAAAAAAAAATATTTAATTTACAATCAATTTTCTAAGGGTTTCAAAATTTATTAATTAAAAACTCTGGGTAATGTAATTTTATCTCAACAAGCATCTAACTATTAAAATCTCGAAAACCAAACCTCGAGGAACATTTTTATTCTCGTTGGAAGAAAACCAAGTGACACACAAACTCCATCCGTCGAGCGAAATGTCAGTAACATTCGTTATTGAGACTAAAAGTAGAGCCGAACCGTTGGACAGATATCTAATCTGGAAGAACCACTTTTTCATGAAAGAAAAAGAAAAGAAAAATTCTAAGAGAAAAACTATAAATGAGAAAATAAAAATTGTTAGCATTAAAGGAAGCATCAATTCAAGTTTTTTTTATTCTTGTTTAAATCCTCTTCGAAACAGTAAATAAATGAACGTAACAAAGGTACATGAAAAAAAGAAATGATAAAATTGGTCAGTGCAAAGTTTGCCCGAGAATGATAAAAGTACCATCAGGCTAAAGTCTAGCCAAATGATCATGGAAACTTTTCGTAAGGAAATCTAAAGTTCAAAAATACTTATTTTTTCGGTCTCTATTCTTAGAAAGGTTCTGTCCAGTAGAGAAAAAATGTCTGAAACAGAAGAAAACGGAAAAATGCTCGAAAAGCCGATGAAAAGACCCATTAGCAGGAGAAGATGCGAAAGAAGGAGCTGGAAGAATCCTGTTGCCCTTTTCGGGGGAGCATTTTAGAAAGGAAAATTGGCCCCTCTAGAGGCTTTAGTTAGTGGCCCCTAAAGGTCTAACTTTGTTGGCCAAGTTTTGTTAGCCTTTTTGACTTCCAAATCATGACCAATTAAAACCCCTATAGTGACCACTTAAGCAATAGTGACTCTGATCCTGAACCCTCTATGGACCTCCCAATTTTAGCCCTATGGGAACGCTATTTTGTGTCATACAGAGCCCGTTTTTTTTCCTGACCCCTTTAGGGACCACTCTGGCGATCCTACGTAAAGCAGTTTTCAATTCAAACTTTAAAAATTGCATATCTCTGCTCAAAATACTCAGAATCGGGTAAAAACGAGTTTTTACACTTTTCACGGGATCCTCCTTCATATAGAATCATCTGGAACCCTCGAGGACCATTTTCAATAAAATCAATAAAAGCTTCAATATTCTTAGGGACTCCAGAGTGGCCCCTTCAGGGGAAACGTTAGGGTCCCTTAGGGCCTCTTTACCAACACCTATGGGGACCACTAAAACTTGCAAAAGCGGTCTCTATAGGGGACATGCTAGTCGATAATTGTGAAGAAGCATTTCCACGGGAAAAACTGAATAAATGAGCGTTTTTTTTCAAGTGAAACTGAAAGACCCCTATAGGGGTCACTTGAGCTTCGGGAACTAATGGGTGAGACTCTAAACCCCTATAGGGAACACTTTCTCGGCCCTATAGCGTTGTTTCCCCCCTGACCACTATAGGGACCCCTCTGGAACTCCTAGGCCCACCTCAAAAGAATTGACAATCGTCCGGCTGTTTTTCGCGTTACTTTTGCGGTCACTATAGCAAAGTTCCATCTGTCGACAAATCAGAATTCCATTTTTGATCTGCAAAAAACGATGAGAAAGGTCTGCAGAATTCAAGGACATGATTCCCGACGGAAATCAGAAAACCTGTCGGGCCAATTCGTCGACTTCCGCCATTTCGTCCTGCAACTTTTCGTACCTGAAAAGTTTTTTTTGAAGGTACCTAAAAAGGAAAAAACTCTTGAACGAGGTCGCTGATTTCCCGTTCTTTTCGCAAAGTCTCATCCAAAGGCCTGAAATCGCCGGCTTCCTTCATTTCGACGTCGAATCCATTGTTTCCCGAATTGGTCGGTTCTCCGAAATCGAGGAATAAATCCTCATCTTCGTCCATTTCTTCAAAAAAAAAAACTAAAAAATATGTATCTGTAAAATTGAAATATTGAGAGAACAGTTCGATCCGGATATACTCAAAAAAAGGAGAAAAATATAAAAAAATATATTTATTTTTTTCTCTTCAAGAATGAAATTATCAACATAGGAACATCACAAACAAGCGTCAGATCCCGTAAAAAAAAAGAGAAAAACTAAAAATTATATATTAGCCTGATAAGATTTACCCGATAAAGTAAACTGAATTGATAAATTATCTTTTCGAAAATTAGGGAAAAAAAATCTCAAACTTCGGAATTCTGTATTATTTACACATGAAAATAAGTAGTATAGAAACTATTTAGTAGTTGAAAAATGAGAAAAAAAACAGAAATTGCACAATTTTTTGAGTGTTCATAACACTTGGCAGGTTTTTTTATATTTTATTTGAAGATTGAAAAAAATTGAGATTTTTAATCTTGAATAGGTTAATCTAGTTCTATTTTTTTATGGAGAAAAATTTTTCTGGCAACTTATTTTTTTAATTGGAATCGGAAAAAGCTCAAAAAACTACCTTTTTCAATCACAATATTCAACCCTCATCTTTTCTAAATCTGAACTAAAATTGTATGAATTTCAGAGAAAAAAATTTTTTTCAATAGAAACTCTTAAAAAAATCCGAGAAAAAAAGTTTGAAAAAAAGTTCTAAAATTGATGAAAAAAATTAACAGAAATGCACATAAAAAGTTCCTATAGTAAAAACAAGGAATCAAAGAATGAGCCGAAGTTTGTCAAGAGTCTCGAAAATGTCTTCGTTCGAGGGAGCCATGGCGCGCATGTCGTTGACCAAAGCAACGGCTCTTTTTGCAAATTTTGGAAGACCCATCGCCCGTTTCAGAAGACCTCTGGCGTAGTGCCGCTTCTGGAATCATTTCGAGTTGAAAATTGAACTGGTTCTTGTATTTAGTTCACAAAATTTTAGTTCAGGGAACCCGAAAAACTAAGCAAAGAAGTATATTGGATTCCAGTGACATAGGCAAAGTCGGAAGGACCCTCCGTGGCTTCTGGAAGGCTCTATAGAAATGTTCCTTTTAGGGTCATGAAGGTTCCCTTTTTGCGTCATTTTCTCAGCCCGTATACACCATTTTTGGTGCCACTGCCTTTCTCCACCATTTCTCGAGTCTTTAAAATCCCAGAAAAATGGAAGGCTCGATGAAGGGACTCTTTTTGATGCCTTTTCGCTGCCTTTTTACTGCCTTTCTGCTGCCTTTTTGTGGCCTTTTCGCTCCCTTTTTACAGCCTTTCTGCGGTCTTTTTTGAGTCTCTCCCTTTTATCGGCCATTATCCACCATTCCGACTTTGCCGGAGGATTTAGCTTAAAATCCCATATTTTCAACTCAATCGTAAACTTCAAAACCTTCCCCTCCAGTAAATTTTATGTAACAAAATCAGTTAATTTTTTGCAAATTTCGATAAAAGACATCTTTGGCTGCAATCTAACAAACAACCGACTTAAAAAAAAAACTTGAACTTTTTCTAAAAGATACGGGGAGAAAGGAAGACGAGAAAAATTTCAATTTTGAATTTTCTCAAGTGCTTCTCAGGTTTTCCAGCCCTTTTGCTCGTTTTCAAACTTACATCTTCGTCAACTTCGAGCAACGAAACGATATTTTCGAGAAATTGAAGGGAGATGAGACGATCCTCGGCGGCCAGAGGGAGCAACTTCTCCATCACGGATTCCAGTCGTATGCTCACGGCTTGTCTAAATTCTTTGATTCATAACTTTTAACTGATAGAATGTCTAACAAGAAATGCGCTGTTTTGAGAGCTGCTGTTTAATCTTTTGAAAAAATTATTCGAAAAAATCGAAAGTTAGAGTTTGGCCATTTAAGTGATCGCTAAAGAAGAGCTGAATTTTTTCGGAAAAACGAAGCCAACCTAGAAAAATTATATACCAAAAAATACAGAAAGACACGATCTTCCCACTAGTACAGATCCTTTCAAAAAATGTTCTCTTTGGAATATGTAAAACCAACCAAAACGACACGCATAGCCCCTAATACTTCAAAAGTCTTACAAGAACTCTTCACTGCCGCCATAAAGAACGGAATTCGTGACGACGGCTTTGAAATGAGGCACGTCTTCTGATTGAACGACTACGCAAAGGTACCGAAGACATTGGATGTAAATATCCACAAGGAGATTCACAGTTTCTTCCGCTTGCCATTTCGTGAAGTTCCTTAACATAAGAAGATAAAATCTTGAAGAAAATCACGAGATTTACGGGACAAAAATTTGACATAACAGATAAAAAAACGTTCGGAATCTGCAGAATTTTGAGAAAATTTTCTTTCTTGAAAAAAAAGCATTTTCATTTCCAAGATCTTGTCATTTTCTCTCAAGCATTTTTTTCATACATTTCCTTTTTTTATTAAAAAAATACCATCATAATTCCTGTAATAATGGTTTTTTTGTCATCTTTTTAAGGCTTTGGAAACGGAAATTTTTCGCCTCTGATGCTTTATTTTTCTAAATAATGAGCCCTTTTTTTTAATTTTAAGAAACCTTCACATTTTTTTACTAAAAAAATTACTTTCTTTTTTTATTTTCTTCGCCAAGGAATATCGAACCATCTTTGAAAGGTCACTGAATTTTAAGTTACTAAACTAAAAATTCGTCTCTTTATTTATCTCATTTTTGAAACGTCATTCGTCCTTTTTCGATTTCTACTTTTTCTTTCTTTTTTTCTTTTCTCTTTAAAAGTCAAACCTTTCAAGAATCCTGTAGAACTTGTCGAAATAGTATAAAATCTTCTGACGTTCCGGGAGATCAGGGACAAATTGAAGAATGGCCAAAAATTGGATGGAAGAGGTCGCAAATTGTGGGAATGATTGGGAGCTGAGAATTTCCAGGGATTCGATGCATCTTCTGATGGACGTGTCGATCTGAAACTTATTGGTTTTTATTTAATTCATAGTTTTTGAACGCCGAAAGTTCCTATATATCCCAATTTCTTCGAATTCCGCTCTTCGGAACATATGCATAGAAGAAGCAAAAAGACTCGAAAAAATTTTTTGTTTTAGTTTTAAGGTTTTCTGATAATTCATTCGATCTGAACCAACTTCATTCAAATTGATTTATTTATAAAGCAAAAAGTTATTTTTTTCTTATTGAAAAAAATATTTTTTTATAAAGCCTTAAAAAGACAAACTTTAAAATTCTAATAATGTTTATTCGGAAGTATATTATTGCTAAATTAGCGATCAACTGAGCAAAACCTATTTAGGAACGCCAGAGTGATCCCTAGAGGGGCTAGGAAAAACCAGTGCTATAGGGGATCAAAGAGCATTTAAAAATTAAATAGCCTCTGAAGGGAACATTCTGGAGCCCCTAGGGTGGCCCTCTAGGGATCATTCCAGCGTTTTTAGATAACATCATTAAAATTCGTCAAAAAACTCTTTTTTCGAATGGCATTTTTATACGTATAGTAGCTTGAAAAAGGCTATTCTACTTCAAAAAAAAAACCTAAAAATCTCAAAGAACATACCTTTTTACATTAAAGAACCCTTATTTGAGCAATTTTCCTGTTCATTTATTCATTCAAGAAACGTTTTCCTGCTTCACAAACCTGAGGAAGACAATTGACCAGAAGGGAAAGTTGGGCGGCCTGCAAAGACAACCGAAACCGGGAAGAAACTTCGTGAATTGCGGGTATCGTGACCGAAAAGTTGGTTATGCAGACTCTGAATTCTTCTCTTAAAAATCGAAAAAAGCCTTTTCAAACCTCAGGAAATCGGCCTTTTTCGCTCCATCGGACAAAACTCGATAGCTGTTCAGAGTAAAATTGCTCAGAAGCGACAGAATTTGCTGAAGATACGAAACTCTATTCAAAATAAATGAGATGATTTGAACCCCCAAAATGGATTGTCGAAGTCCCAAGCTGGTCCGAGCGCTGACCAGAAACTGAAGGCCTTGTTTCAAGTCATAGGTGAGATTAACGGTGGAAATCGCATCAATTAGTAGTTTCTCTGATATTCTCGTCTAAAGTTGAAAAATTCGGATTTTTTATAAAGGAAAATTGCAGAAAAACCTCATCTTCAGGACATTCCAAGTCCAAAGATCCACATAAAACGGCTCCCTGGTCGATGATCTCAACATGGAAAAATAAATAGGGATAGAGAGAGGGTGAGAGAAAAAAGCAGAACCTAATTTATCAGTGGATTCAATGATTTTTCTAGTTTTCCGAACTGCGAATGTTGAAATTTGTGAGCAAAATGTTTAAAGGATCAAAAATTAACTTTATTCTAGAATAAATCGTTCGTTTTCAGTTACAACTCAAGTAGCTTTTCCATAGTTTTTTTCCACCAAAATACTACGTTTTTGAGAAAAAGAAAGGAAAACTGACCACATGAAAAACTTGAAAATTATTCAAAGTTCCCGGCTTGAACGCTCTAACAATTGCAGTTAACACAGCTCTTGCGCTTCGCAATCGAATCAACCGATCTTCACTGAAAACCTTTCTTTCAATTCACAGCTTTTAATGTACCAGAAAATAATAAAATAGAAATTGATATGACTTTAAAGTGACCTTATATTTTTTTCAAAATGCTTCGAATTTCAAAAATTATATTAAAAAAATGCTTTTTCAGATTTTTCACTAGGAACCAAGATTCAAAAAAAGGACTTAGAAAAAAATTTCTTCAGCTCTTTGGTTATTTTATTTTTTTCTAGTTTCCAAAAAAATCATTACAATGAGGAGCCATTTGCTTTTACAAATTTTACTTTTTATTCTCTTTTTTTGAGACATATTTTTCTAATTTTTGTTGAGGAATTTTTTTATAAATAGCTTTTTAATCTAACTGAAGTCAAACGTTTGGATGTAAAAAAATTACCGGTTTTTCGTTTTATATTAAATTTTTTTCCTACAAATTTTTTTGTCGATCCTTTATAAAAATGTTCATTTTCTTTAAACAAATTTTTCAGGGCTTGAGTCTTTTATGCATTTTATGTCAAAAATAAAAAAATTTTTTTCTGTATTTTTTTAAAAATTATTTTCAACCAAACTCGATGTTCACATGTTAAGAAAAATATTTCAGAAATATACGTTGGCTTTTTTTCCAAAAAAAGTTCCCTAAAAGCCATACCTTTTGAACTGGTGCCAAGAAAAACTGTAAAAAGTCTGAATCTTGAGGTTTCAAATCGCAGAAAAACAAGTGAAAACTTTGAAAAATCGTTTTTTTTTCTAGACCTTCCCTAAACCTTAACGATCATCCTTATTTTAAAGCTTGAATCATTTTGAACCCTTTTATGAAGTCTTTTTCCATTTTTTTTTCTTAAAGTTCTAATTTTCTACCTTAAAAAACCCTTTTTTTTCTGAAACCTTTCCGATCGGAAAAATCTCAATGAAGTCATCCTTTCCAAAACAACCTCAAAAACGCCAATATTTTGTGAAGAGAAGGCGTGAGCAGAAGTTGACACAGTTCCGAATCTTTTTTATGGTTGACGACAGCTCCGATGAACGCTTCGATATTGACCATACTTTGAGAATCGTACTGAAACGGAAAAATAATACAAAAATCAATGGGAACTTCTGAGTACCCTCAATCTCTCGGCATGAAATTCGATCCGCTTATAGACAATATCGACAATCTTCTCAACGTCTTTGGCGGGAGAACATCTGGAGAAAAGATTCATTTTTTTGGAAAAATCTAAAAAAATTAACCTCGCAACATAAATAGTCCAATCGATGGAACAAGCCAGGAAATAGCGGACATTTGGAACGTTGACCAGTTGTTCCCAGCATTTTCTAAATATTGGAATTTTTTTATTTTTTTCAAATTTAATTGTTAAAATTTTGCATTTTTACCCCTTTATTCAACTTTTTTTGAATCTTTACGATAAAAAGAATATCGGAAACTTTTTTTCTTGTTCTAAGATTTTCAAAAAAAAGTAAGCCGATCGAAATCTAAAAATTGCAAAAAATTTTTTTTTCTTTCCTTCACTTTCAAACGTTCAAAAATTGAAGCACTCTGATTCTAATCGTAATAACTAGATGTGTGGAAAGTTTTGAGGCCAACATTATTAAATTTAAGAAAACTTTTTTTTCAAGGGTGCCGAAAAAAATGTTCTCAATTATATTTAAAATGTCCTAAAAAAATCGCTTTCCCATTTTTTTTCCCGCGTTCTTTCGAGCTATGCAAGACATCAAATCCTCTCAAAAACCCATTTTGATCATAATTTAAAAACACATTAGCTTGAAAAATTCCTATTATAATTTCAAATATGTCGAAAAATGAAAGTTGATTTCCAATGATAAGGTATTTTTTTTCAACTTTTTTTAAAAAGTTAACCTAAATTCTAGCTCCTAAAAATCCACATTGCTCAACAAATATTGAATTTTAACTTTAAAAAAATAATAAAAAATGTGAAATTTCTCGTTTTCGGTAGTTTCCCCATTCAGATAAAACTACTCAGACGGAATTTTTTTCATTTCAAAAATTCATATAAATTTAGACCTAAAAAACGGAACAAAAATTCTCGAATGGAATTTTTTTATAGATAAATTTCAAGTTTATAAAAAAGAAGTAAAGTCCTTATCATCCAAAAAAAGGTGGGAAAAACCGGATGAATTGTATTTTTAAAACAGCAAAGTCCAAAAATATCTGTTAATTGAATTTATTATGAACTATCGATGAGAACTCAGAAAAAAATATGAATATGAAAAAAACATTTTTAAGAAAAAAAGTCTTTCTTTTTCTTCAATTCTTCCCCTTTGATGAGCTAAAAAGTCTTTTTTTCAAAATTCCTCTGAAAATCAAACTTTTTGATGACACTGCAGATGTCGCCAACTGGAGGAACCGCCGTTAGACGTCGACCGAGGCCAAAAAAATCGCTTCTTCGTCTTTCAGATCTGTCAGAGCCTGTAAACAGATGGCTTTGAAACTGATCATCTCATGTGAAAAATTTAAAAAAATTAAATATGAACTAATAATATAAAAATATCGTAGTGTTAGCTTTTTTTGCGACATAAAAACAACTTTTTCAATTAATATTCTTTAGGGAGTTAATTTTCTCAGTAGTTAACTATCCTTTTATTAAGGTGTGACATTTGAAAATTAACTGAAATTAAGTATTGAAGCATAATTTTCAAATCTCACCAAATCGAGAGCCTCTCTGGCGTACATCGAGAGATACTTTGCCGGCAAGGCTTTGATCAGAGCCGGAATCAGGAAAGCGACTTTGTCGGGCTGTCTACAGTACTCCCACAGAGGTCCCAAGTCATCTACCGTATGCGCGCCGTAGGTGGCACACTGTAGGATCCATTCCACGGCCGGCGAGATCACTCGTGACTGGAAAGGAACAAAGAAAAAATCAAGAAGTTAGTTTGGGACTGACTTTTTTCTAGTAGAAAAATACTATTTTTCGCGAGTAAATTATGAAAATTTTCTGATAAAGTTGTTTGAACCAGTTTTGATTCATTGACCCCTAAAGTGGCCTCTAGAAAGTTGTCTAAAAAGTGAAAAAGGTGTCTAGTAGTACCACTCAAACGTCTAAAAGGGCAAATAAATTCTAGCCACTAAAGTGACCATTATATCGACTACTATAATGACCTCTACAAAGTCAAAACCCTAAAGTGGCCACTTAAAACTTTCCCAGTCAGGTATTATTTCACGCTTATAGTATTTTTCCAGATTAAAGTTGATTAAAACCTACAAAACTCGAAAATACTAAAAAAAAAACCCCGGAAAGAACCAAAGAAGTCGTTCCTGGGATCTCCTCCTTGACGCCGTTGATCTGAAACCAGTCGTTCAGGACTCTCCAATGCGGAAGTCGATTGGCCGGATCGATTGAGATGCAAATCTTGCATATATAAGCCCGCGCATATCCCGCTGTGACGTCTTGGTTCAGTTCTGCAAAAAGTGGTGAAAGTTGAGAGGCCCCTCTAAGGTTTTGACGAATTGGTGGCCACTTGAGTGAATTCCATTAGCGGCCCCTTCAGAGGCTAAGTGGTGGCGGTATGAAAAAAACACCAGCGAAAATTCAAACGGCGACTTTTCCGATTTTTTCATATCGCTAGAGAACTTTCCGACGGATCCCTTTCCGACTTTTTTCCCCTATGTTTTTCGGTTTTTAAAACATTCATAGACATTTTTTTTCCTATTTCTTTGTGTTTTAATTATGAATTAACTACCTACTTTATATAGGAAGATTCAAAACGAAGAGTTTATCGAGAAAAAAAGTCGGAAAAAGATTCGTCGGAAAGGTGGCCGTCGGAAAGTTCCCTAGCGATATGAAAAAATCGGAAAAGTCGCCGTTTGAATTTTCGCTGGTCTTTTTTTCATACCACCTAAGTGGTACCACCAGACCGCTAAAAACTACTTTAATGGTCCCTCCGACGCAAAATAGTGGCTTCTATAAAGGTAGTTTTGGGTAGTAAACTAGCATTTTTCAAAGTATTTCACGGCGAAACCGAATTGAAGCCACACTCAGTGCAGCGGCGGAAAATGAAATGTGTTGTACGCAGTGCACGCGATGCATGAAAAGCGACGCGCAAAAAGCGATATTGAACGTTTATAATGAATAAAATCATTTTTCTGGCTGGTATTTATCCAGGGATCGCCAAAAAAACTTTTTTTATAAAAAAAGTAATTTCTTCACTCAGCCTAAGTTTTTTTAACTAAACTTAAAAAAATGTAAAGTTAAATAGGAAAGTACAAACTGGAGCACATCGACGCCAATCTTTCCAAGTTGATTCTCAAAGTACCGCTGTCCAGAAATCGAAGACAAGCGATCAGACAAGATTCAACTGAAATAAAATTATTTTAATTTTCCCTTTTGACAAAACTACGAAACCGTAAAACCTGGGGACGAGTTCCTTGATGTCGGAAACTTTGAGGAACCAATGTCTCGCCGTTTCTTTGGCCAAGGGAGGAACCTGATCCGAGGAAAAGTTCGGCGGGAGTTCCGTCTGTCCTACTCGGACTCTTTCCTGAAAATAAGATTGAGAAAAAAATAAAATCATGAAGAAATTATTGAAGGATTTTCAGAAGAACTTCCTAACAGAGGAACCTTTTAACCGTTTTTCTAATTATCTTATACCGTTTTTCCTTGCCAAAAATGAGAAATAACCTCATTGGATTTGAAGACAAGCCGATCGTAGACGAGTTTCCCGAAAAGGTCAAGAACATCTGTGGCAAGGACCCAGTGATAAGGGAAAATCTCAGTCGCCGAAGGGGAAATGAGCGTGCGCGCAACGTCTAGAGCTACCTTAAAAAACAGAAATATTTATTCCCACAAATAATAAATCGGAAAAAACCTTCATCGCCTCGATTCTCTGATTATTGTTCCAAGCTTGGAGCAACTGTTCATTGTATTCCGCGATTTTCGTGGCGAATGAATTCGGATCAGGCGGCAAAGGGCCAAAATTCGAATTCTCCAACGCTTGAAGTCTAAAAAAATCAAGTTCTTCTATTAAATAACCTAAAAAAACTTTTTTTCGCAGAGATTCAGCAGAACTGCTTTTATGCTCTTTCGGCCGAAATTTTTTAACTATCTGCGCTCTTTTTTCCCTCCAAGGTTCGAAATCCGGCAAATCGATGTCTAAAAACGACAAATTTATAAGAAAATTCGTTAAAACATCACCTAATGAAAGACTCTCGACTTTTTTGGACTCCAAAGTGTTGTCCAGAGAAGCTGCACGGTTTTTCATGGAGATATCTTGTATTTGGTCGACGTCCAATAAAATGTTCTGATCCTCTTCATTCGTTGCTCCTGAAAAAAAATCAAAATGTTCTCAAAAGTCATTTTTTTTAATAATTACCTAGTGGATCTTCAAAATCATACTGTTCGACCGGCTCTTTAGAATCTTCTCGAGCTTTTGTGCTTGGATTTGATTTTAAAAGAGCCTCATTGAACAGTGGATGACGTATGACAGGAGTAGCGTTCTCCTCGTACTTGAAAAGAGGACTCCCGTGCCGTTCTTTCAGGGGTAAAATCTGCCAAGGAGACTCCGACGTCATCTGAAGTACTGGAATTCATGAAAACGATAAAAAAGAGACATTAGAATATGTATAAAGTTTAAAAAGCGAGAATGTAAAAAAAATTTTCAAACGCGAATTTATCTTTTCTTCGTAAATCGACACGGAAAAGTGCGCGCTCTTTGCAGGTTACTGGAAGCGTGCCAAAAAGTTCACGATTCCAATTTATGCCGTGTTCAAAGTAATTTCCGCGAAATGCAAAATGATCTCTGACTCTCCAAAATTTAGTGATCTTTTCCTTTCTCTAACGGGTAATTTCCATTTCGCGGAAATTACTTTGAACACGGCATTAAAATCATAAAAAAAAAATAAATAAAAATGATGGAATGTTAAATGGGATCAAATTTTGTAAAATCGTTAAAATGGAAATTTTTCCGGAAAAGTCGCTGCAAAAAAAAATTCTTTGTCGAAAAATTATACTCAATGGTGTAAAAAAAAAAAATAGTTTTAGCGCGTATATCATCAAATGAACTTCATTTACCAATAATAAAAAATGAACGTGTGTCAAAGTAAGATCAGTCGTGAAAGAGAAGATATTTCACGACATTCGCTGAACGGAGCAGAGCGCTCGTTCGATTTCTCACTGCCAAACGACTCGAAGCAATGGACAGCGATTCACTTCAGACGGTTGACAATATGGAAGGCAAGACTTCAAAGAGCGAATACGGAATGAGTGATAACAGAACTAGGCCTGTACTCGACGTACTCGGAGCCGGCGTCGGAGACCAACGTAACCTTTTCGGATTTGCTCTCGCGTTATACGTTGTCGCCCTCGGAGGCCAACGTCACGATGGCCGATATTTTTAACCAGCGTACATAGTTTTTTGAGGATTCAGAATTTTTCGAAGTTTATTCTTCAGAAACTGGTTAATTTTCAGTTAGCAGCAGGGAAGCGTGCAATGAACACTACGGACTCGAGGATTTGGAACGTAAGGACTTTTTGATTTCAAACAAACGGAAAAATTCCGCAGCGACTACAGCGATAGGAACCCCGCAACCGTTGTCGTCGTACTCGCCGCTGCCCAGCGAAACGGCCATTTCTTTCGAGGATCTGCGCGCCGAAGCGTCGCCGCCGCTTTCCACCGCCGAGTTCGGCTGCTACTCCATCTACAGTAATCCATCGACGGAGACTGTTTTTTGCGAGAGTTTGTTGTTTTTCTTGGGGTAAAAAAAGTTAGATGGGGTTAATTTCAGTTGACAATGATCATCAACAAACGCAACAGCGGGACGAATCTTCTCTGAATGGGGAAATTGAAGGTGAATAGTCAGGAAATCAGCCTTCTCTCATGTGGAGAATAGTTCTGTTCTCGTACGTAGGATCGCAAGAGTACTCCCTAGAGAGGTATCCTCAGGGGAAGTTGAACGTTTCCCTCTAGGGACCACCTTACCTCCCTCTAAAGGGAGCGCTAAAGTTTGCAAGAGTGGCCGTTAGTGGCCACATGGGCCATGTGACATGGCTCCCCTGAGAGACGGAAAAAGTGATAAATAAGCGTCATTTGAATTTGAAACTATCAACAGAGGCCTCCACTATCAAGTTCTTTCCATTTTTCATAGCATGACCAATTTGAAGACCACCAGAGGGACCGCTTAGAAGTTAATGGGTCAGACCCTAAACCTTTATTAAGACCACCTGAGCTTGAGGACTCTGAGGTAACCTCTCTCGTTTTGTCCCCTAGAGGGGCCACTCTGGCGTGTCTAAGTATATACTAGAGATTTTGAACTTCAAAAACGCTTCAGAAGAGCAAACGTTCGAGATGACGGTTTGTAAAGAGGTGGTGAACGTGGTGGACTCCAACGAGTGCCTCCGTCGTCTCCCAGATTTCCAGCCGATTCCAATCATCTTCAACAAACATCACTATCTTGGTTCGTTCTTTCAAAAATACAAAAGCGACATTTTGAGCCATTCCAAGTGCGACAGGGTTGTTTTTTGAAAAACCGTGAAAACAAAAAAAAAAAAACAAATTCAAAATAAGCTTTTTTCAGTTCCAGCCGAAAAAAGGAAGTTGCCGTCATCGTCGGACGTTTCTTCCACTGCCACAGCTCTTGACGGTTTTTTTTTTTTTTCAATTTCATATTTATTTTTAGACCTCGAGCTTTCTGGCGACTGACACAAAGTACAAAAACGTGGGTTCATCGGGTTTTTTTTCACAAAAAGAGTAATTTCAGTCATAGGCCAGTCACCGGCTGCCGCTCATTTTCCTTCATCCAAGTGGTGTTTTCGAATAAATTTTTGGGAATTTGCATGTTTTTTGTGGGAGACGAGTTTTGTGAATTCAGCTGACCCTTAAAATGCTCAAACTTTGGAAGGAATATTCTCCTTTCACTACCAATTATTCTTCTTGCGCCTTTGTACTGCTTCAGCGTCGTCGGCTCCCGAAGTTCTCTCCTGATAACACTGATAATCAAGGACTGACTCTAATGACCTATTCCTTGTGTGTGACGGCTGGGGGTTTTGAAGTCGTGGTTTCCCACTATTCTTAAATCCTTTAGTCACGTTGGGGATCGAACTTGGGACCTTTGGACCGTAGACAGGCACACAACCTGTTGCGCTACGACACGCCGCCAGTTCACCAACATCAAATAATTGTAAAAAAAAAAAAAATCGAAAAAGTTCCTAACCTTACTACGTCTCTTTTCCCTAACCGATAAAATCAAATAAACTTGAAAAGAGCATTTAAAAAGGAGAACGTGGCCGAGGAAGGAGAGCGCAGAGAAGCCAGAGTTTCGACTTGCGACGAATGATTTTCATAATGAATGGAAAACTTGGAGAATCTTAAGAACTAACAAACCCAAAAGTTGCAAAAAAAAAGAACGAGTTTTCAAAAACAAGCATGTGTTTCTTGGGAAACGGAAAAGAGGAACAATTCGTAAGCGAGAAAAATCAAGGCGTCCATCATTTCAAAGGCTGTGAATGGGGCTTCTAGGAGGAGTGTGACCGGCTTCTGAAAAATATTCAAACTTAACCAAAAATAGGAAAAGTTCAAAAATCACTTTCTCCATGAAAATCGAACATTTCACTGCGCATCGCCGTCAAGCTGCTGGTAGTTTGATCCGGAAAACACTGAAATTTCGAGAGAAAAGGATATTTTTTGAATCTGGAATAATATACCGATTCTCCAGAGGCGGAAGTACAGGCCGAGCTCTAAAATTCAAAATTCGGAAAATTTCAATATGGTTCAGGAATTTAAAGGAGCATGGACAGAAATTTACTAAAAGAAAAGTGGAACATATGTTTTTAAAGCAAAAATATCATGATTTTACGCTTTCAAGTTACAGAGCGAGGGTCTGAGGATTTTCAAAATCAAAAATAAAATCCTGAAAAAAGTTGTTTCAGGTGAATCTTCGCTCCATCGCTAATCGGAATGTTTGATTTTTTTTTTGGTTTTTTTTCATTATTCCAACTGAACTGAAGATTACAAACCGTGCTCTTTTGCTTCAGCATTTCCGGAAGCGGTTTAGAAGGCGCAGAAAATCTCGGAGCTTTCGCCGGCTCTGTGACTGTCGTCGTGCTTCGCTTCGGAGCGTCCAGATGTTCTTTTGAGAAGCTCGAAGTGTCGCTCTGAATGAATATATTTTGGGCAGGTTTTTATTAATTTTCTGGATACCGATCGATCTTTTCCAGCGCTCGCGATAGGATTTTCCGATCGTTTTGGCTCCACCACCGTATCCGTCACTGAATTGAATGGATTAAGAGTTTCCGGAAGAACATGATTTTTTATTAAAAAAATGATGAAGTTCTTTTTTCAGAGTTGAAAGAGGCCCACTCGGGAAATTTAATTCGATAGTTTTTAGTTTTCCAAAAATTTTGTCTTTTGATCCCGCCAAAAGCTGCATTGCGACCGCAAAAAGCCAAAAAAAAAGATTAATGATTAAACTTGAACGAAAAGAGCTTGGTTGAGAATATTTGGCGTGTTGCGCGTGAGAAGTCGCCGGCGTCGTCGTCTTGTACTCGCTCCACGAGTTTTGATGACGTCGCGACCTGTCCGTCAACACCTGCGACGTCTGAAAATGAGTTTTACGTGTCAGAATCTCAGAAAATCTTCAAATTCATTCAAAAATCGACCACTTTTCGACCTCTCATACGATTATGAAACTATTTGATCTGACTATAAACCGTAACCGACCCGAAGCGACTCGCGCCAAGAGGTATAGGAAAACATCAAAAATACTGCAACGCGACCGCGACATTTTGAGCCATTCCAGATGCGACTATGTATTCTGGTACCTCAGGGATGTCAATGGCAACGGATCGGGACGTCTTCGTGTCGCGCGGCTTCTCGGAAACTTCCGTCTCTTCCGAATTCCGTTGACTTTTTCTCGAACTCCGAATGGACTGATTTTGTGAAAAGACGGCGGCGCTACTCTCCGAGTCAGCTGAAGTTTGGATTGTTCAAAAAATCGAGACAAATAATTAAACTTCGTGGACTTTTGTATGAAACTTGGTTATCTATCGATGAAACATCGCTTCCTTCGAGCTGGAAAAAATCTTGATTAAATATTGAATAAGAGTTAAATTCAAAAAATTAAAAAGATCAACTAGTACCTTGGAATCGACAGATTCTTCGCGAGAGATGCCCAGGTAGATAAAACAGGCAATGAAGCTCAAGACGACGGCGAAAAGGCCGCCGACCAGAAGGAAGTCTCCCGATACTTCCAGCATCGGACCACAGAAATGACTGATAACCTAACGTTGAACCTAAAATAAATAAATTCAAAAGTGTTCAACGGGAAAAAGTTCATCCCATTTTGAAATCACACAGCCTTGGAGCTGTTTGGTCAAATGGTACTTTTATTTCATTTATACGATTTAAGAGATTTTTTCGGACCGCAGCGTTTTTGAAATTTTCAGTTATTATTCAAAAAAAAGAAATGCGAAAATTAACACAAGTAAGAAAAAAGAGCTGACGAAGGGTGCGTCTATATTTATGACGCGAGATGAAGAAATGTCGTCCTAAGACTTTTTCGACTACATGAAATATGAATTGTAGCCTTACTGCCGCAGGAAGAATGGATGTGAGCGTCGCGGTCGCGATGCGGTCAAATTTTTCAAAATTTCTTTCTATTTCAACAATTTTCAATATCGGCGCGCGGAAGTCGATTTCGGTCGGGCGCATCCCCAAATAATGTAGTTACGCGTCGATCCGTTCAAATTCGGACTGAAATATTTCCACTTGAAAAACCCTAGTTTAAAAAAAAAGAAAAAATCTTTTTTGAGTAGAATATTAAAAAAGAAAAAAAAAATTTCAAATCTTTTCCAGGAGAACTTGTATGCAATTTTGGTGTTCTACGCGTCAGCCATTTTTTTGTGTTTATAACTATGACGACCTGTTCGGTATCTTTTCTATAATTCAAATTGAAAGATTTAAAATTCAGAGTAGAAAAAACAACGATGTGAAAAACGGTCCCTCACCACAGGAGCCGGAGCGTAAATTTTCCTTTTTTGGAAGGTTTTAAATTCCAAATTTCAGCAGTTCAAGTCCAAGTTCAAGCTCAAGCTCAAGCTCAAATTCCTCCCGTAAAACCAGTAGAAACGAAGAGTACAGTTGAAACCTCTGAAGTGAGGATTTTTTTTTCAAAGTCTGAAATATCTTCTAAAAAAAGTTTTTATGACCAAATTTCATAGGCAAAGTCGGAAAGGATGGCTTAGGATGGAAAAAGGCTCCATGAAAATGTTCCTTTTAGGGTGACAAAGGCTCCTTTTTTGCTGCCTCTCCCTTTTCCACCATTTCGTGGGTCTTTAAAATCCCAGAATAATGAAAGGCTCAATAAAGATTCTCATTTTGCTGCCCTTCTGCGGCCTTTTTTGAGCCTCTCCATTTGAGCGGCCATTATCCACCATTCCGACCTTGCCCGAGCAACTTGAGGCACCCCTTGAGTGACCACTAAAGTTTCGTTCAGTAGAGAAAAGAAGACTTTTTTGAGTAAGAGTTGACAACATTTTTTAGAATCCAACAATCAAGGAAGAGCCGAAAAAGGAGTCGCAGGAAAACCTGAAGATTGAAGTCAGAAAAATGCCGCCGTCTTCGGTTAAACTAGTATTGAAAGGCGAAAACCCCGATAAGGATGATGATAAAAGGATGGACAGAAAGTCGGAAGTGGTGGGTCGAAATCAGTTACTTGTCAAATTGGAATCTCAAAGTTCAGCCAGAAAAGGACATGATTTTGGACAATCAGAACGCGTCGGTGGCTTTCATTCTGGAGCACGGCACGGAGACTCATGCCAGCGTTGGTTGAATCTCCTTTGAAAGAATATTCGATCTTGAAAGATTTGATAGGCCTTGAAACTTTAGAGAATGGCTCGACACGGCGTTTTTTGGCAACGCCTATTTTTTTCCCGTAAAGTGTAGTGTACAATGTGCATGCACTGTGGCGCTCTCGCACATGCCGCGTTGAAAGTAATCTTCGCGAAATTCAAAATTATCTTTGAATTTCCGAAGTTCAGTTATATTTTTCATTTTCTGGCCGCTATTTTAAATTTCGCGGAACCACTTTGAACACGGCAACAGAAAAATTGCGTTTTTTTAAAATCAGAAAACGATTCGTCTCGTGACCCATTGAACGTGCGCCTTTAATATTCCCTGTTGTTTACGATTGTTTCCCATGACGTCACTTGGGAACATCGGAGCTTTTGACTCCGCCGCCTTCATTTTGGTTCCGCTTTTTCTTCCACTAACTAAAACGCCGTGTCAAAGCGTTGGTAGGCAAAGTGCGCCCGACCTTGAACGGTTTTCGACAAGGCTGAAAGATGTCGGCGTTGATAAGCGAGCTAAAAAAGCGAGACAGTTACCGCTCCGCGACCGCGACGTATTGAGCCATTCTCTGGATGTTTTTATTGGTATTACGAAAATATCTTTTGACGTGGAAAATAAAATCGTAACTTTAATTATTTTGAGGGCGAGTTTGAGCGCCATGCGAAGATCGTCATCGACCAAACGTCCCTCTTCCAATGGGGCATGAAGAAACACTACAATTCGGATGAGACGAGTTGGCGACACATGAACAAGAGGATCCTGCTGTTGAAAATCGAGGTGAGGTGAGAAGGGAGTCCAGAAGACGTCGTTCAGGGCCTCGACGCCGGCATCAACACTCGGAGAGCGCGCGATAGGAAAAAGGAAAAGGCCAAAACCTGCACAACTAAGCTTGATGCTCTCCTCAAAGTTCCAAAGGTTCGGAATTTCGCAACCAGATTGGTGCTTTCATAACTAACTGAGTGGATTCAATGACATTGTATGAAGCCGCAAAACTCGTCTGATCTCTCTGCGCTCTCTTCTTTGAGCGCTCTTTTCATTGCCCAACCTGTGAGGGATGAGAGAGCGCAGACAAGTTAGACTGTTTTGATCTGTAGAATGAATTATTAGCTTTAAAGAACTTTCAAAAAAGTTACAATTTGTTTTCAGAAAAAGAAGAAGAAAGAAGGAACAGCCGATTGAATTGCTTTATTTCCCTGTATTTTGAGTAAACTTTTTGTATCGATTTGACCATTTTTTTTCTAAAAAAACATTTATTAATCATATCGCAACACGCAACAAAGCATCAACACCAAAAAAATAGAGAAAATGTAGAGTAAACAATGGAAAAATAGCAGAAAAAGACAAAAAAAAGAAGGAAACTTGGAGAAACATTTGAGAAATGAGCCGCCGCAAATGGATGGGTCTCTTCTCAACGCATTCTAAAAAAGGAAAACCTCGTGAAAAAACGTCCAAAGGATGCTACGGAAACAGAAATTGTACAGTAACAGCCTAAACAACAAAGATTCACGACACGTACACCAAATCAACAACATGAGGAAATTGTTCAACAGGCGGAATGCGAGGGAAAAAGACCGCAAGAGTCAGTAAAAATCAACAAAAAGAATAAAATTAGAAAGAGCAAAAAAAAAGAAAAAGAACGATACATCAACTAGTAACAAATGATGAGAAGTGTGGGTATGTGGCGGGGCATCGAATTTTTCGAAATGTCTTCCAATTTTGTCACGGATTTTTCGACTGAGCAAAACGCTTCAAAATATAAGGAAAAGAAAGAAGAAAAAGAAGAACAAGCAAAAGGAAAAGAAGTAACCCATAAACGCATCAACCGAACGAAGAAAACAGTAACGAGAGCAAATGGTAGATGAAAAAGAAAATATGGTATCTCGAGAGGTTTCATCAAATCCTGGAGCAACGGAGGTGGGGAAAGAAAGAAGGTGGGTTCTACTTCTGGAAGAGAAGTCAAAAAATAAGAGAATTTGAAAAAAAAGAACAACGGAGCGCAGTGGTGAGGCGAAAAGACAAAGTGATGAGAGAGAACGAATTTTTTGAGGCTTCTTTGAAGATGAAGTCTCACAAGGAAGGTGACTGGGGGAGAAATTCGGATTTTTGAAAGTTTCGAAGAAGATTCTTAAAGTCCCGAGCTTCAAAAATTGCTCGTTCTCGAGGAAAAAAAGCTTCAAAGTTCCCAAAAAAAATCCAAATTCTCACAAAAATGACCTTCCTTGTCAGGAAATGAGTTTCAACTAACAGATTTTGGTTACAATTGTACAGAAAGAAGAAAAAAGACGCCTGAGGCGATGGGACAAGAGGAAATTTAGCAAGAGGGCCGGCAGGAGGGGTCGGCAACTCAACAGACAACAAACGAGTGCGACAACTCCCAGCCGAAAATAGTTGGGGAGAAGAAAAAGTATGGACAGGACAACTAACTTCGGAGACTAAACTAAGGACCAATCTACGGTGGATGTGTGTGTGTGGGAATCTCTCAACAATTTGAATCTTTGGCTTTTTTCAGTCACACGCTGAGCAACATGCGGCAACACATGAGTCATCGGTCAAGGAAGGACCCGATTTGAATGTCAAACCAAGCAAAAATTGATCGAAATTGTGGATTTGTTTTTTTCGCCGAAGACACATGGATCATTGCCGGGGTAACAAATAACAGTTGCTCTCCATGCGCTCGTTTTTGGGTACATTTTTGGGATTTCGAGACAAATTTCAGAAGAAACACGAGGAGATTGAACCAGTAAAATGCGCATGTACTCACAGCTCATTTTGTGCTCGAGAATGAATCTTTTTCAGCTCTCAGGAACAAGATAAAGGCGACGAAAAGTTGAATTTCGCAATTACTCAAAAGCTCCTTTTGAAACTCAAAAAAGAAGGAAATATTTCGAAAAACAACTTTTCGCATTCAATAGTTTCTATCTTAAATAAACGAAACATGAATAACAGGGTGAACGGAAGAGGGTTAACTGATAACAAATCAACAATTCGTTTGTGGGTTTTTTTTTCTGATACATATTTTTTTTTCTCAATTTCCAAAACCACCTAAACTTCTGAGAATAGAAGCAAGAAGACAGAAATGAATAAGAAACAAGGAAAAATAAAATTAGTAACCAAAAGGAAAAAAGGGACATTAATTAGAAAGGAAACAAGTGTTCCAGTGGCAGTACTTGGAACGAAGAAATTTGAGGAGACAACAAAGACGAACGGGAAAACCGGGGCACATGAGACGAAGATGGTCACGCAGGCCTTCGAGGCTTCGGAAAACGCGGAAAAGTGCGGAAAATCGGCTTGAGACGACGGATTGAACAGGAAACGATTGCTGGAGCAGTGTAACCCAAGTTTGAGAACAAAATCCGTCGTCGGAGAAGCCAATAACCATTTCAACGTTCAAGGGAAGCTTTCAGATGGTGGTGAGGTCGCGTTGGTTTGTCTGGAAATTCATAAATTTAGGATTTTTTCTTATTTTTTTTTTGAGCTGTCCGCTGCCAACTTTTCATACTGTTTTATTCAAAAAAATAAAGTCAAAGTTTTGTATTTTTCGTTAGATTTTCTCATCCTTTTCTATTCTCGCTTCTCGACTAAGATAGTAACATTTATTGCCAAAAATTTGATTTGAAGTTAACAATTAGATGTGAAACTGGAAATGTTGTGACCAGTGTTGAAAAACGAGTTTTGATCACCAAAACAGAAAATTTGAGACATCCCAAAGTTTTTTTTGAGTTATATTAGACTGAAACGTGCCCAGTAAGACTACAAAAGCTGTAAAGCGTTATTAATCTTGTTGTAGAGCTTCAAGATTCCAAATGACGAGACCCTAGGAATCTTGAGACTTTTCCCGAAACTCACAATGAGAAAATCATAAGGCGCGATGGGGAGCGGCGGTGTTGATGCCGTTGAGACAGTCGACGAGCGGTCTCCATTGGGCGCGATTGCTGCACAACGACAAGACCGCCTTCTGCATTTCCAGCCGCTTCCGTTCGATGCTGAAGTCCGGGTAGGTCTTCGAGAAGTCGAAGCCGTCGTCGAACTGCAAGAACATTTTCAATAAAATTTTTTTGCATTGATGGGCTGATCAGGGCCGCCGAACATTTCCCCCAAAGTTTTTAAAAAAAAAGTCGTTCCTAAATTTTCATGATCCATCCCCTCCTCCTGGACTAATTGAGTTATCTCACTTATAGTAAAACCTACAACAAATGAAATTCCACAAGTGGAAAATTGGAACTGATTATTTTGAATTGATTTTTGTCCTCATAAAAAAAGTACCTTTCTTGGAGGCTCGAGCAAGAACCGCCGGGCGAATTCGACGATGAAAACGCCGCAGTCGAAGTTGTTGGCCTGTTGCGGGAGCTCGGCGGGCAGGATAGTCTTGAGCGGGAATGGGAAGGGCGTCCCGGTGCGTTTCTTCCACGAATACTGGGAAAATTATTGCGGTTAGGTTCATTCTCTCATTTGCAGCTTCATGCTCTTTGATAAAAACTGTTCAACAGCTATTAAAAATCAAAATCCTCAAGGTATCAGAAACTCTAGTGAAACTGATATTTTGAATGCCACCTAGAGAAAAACTACCTGAAGGCTTCCAAGTTTTTAAAATTAAAAAGTCAACATTTTCAATTTCAGAGTGGAGAATTACCCGGAGGAAGGTGTCGAGAAGCTCGGACATGTTCTGTTTGTCGTTCAAATCGGCCGAAACTTGGGAATCGAAGAGGATTGTGCGGGCTTTTTCCGTGAAAGGGTGGCAGATCACGGCCAGCGACCTGAAAAATATACTTATGAAACCAATTTTTTTGTCAAATCTTCCATATATACCTATTTTTTTCTCTGTGTTTTCATACATCCTTTTTTTCTAGACAGCCTTGGATTTCTTTGCGGAAAAAAATCTGAACACGGTTGAATTTTTCAAGTTCTTGAAAAATCCTTAAAAAAATCTTTGACTCATTTCCAAAAGCTTCATAAAAATCAAAAGGAGGAAAAAAAAAATTTCTCTAAGAATTCTCTAGCTCGATTCAAACTCCAAAAACCTCTGATTTCAGACCTTTTTCTCGATTTTTCACTCCCTTCCAGCCATAATCCCCTCAAAAACCCTTTCCAATCATACTTTTAGAACCTCATTTCCTTATGTGACTTTTTTCACTTCCTTTCATCTTCATATCTTTTGGAAACTCACCAATGCTCCCACTCATTGACGGGGACGACAATGTAATCGACATCATGGAGGTCGAAATCCTCGACAAACTCGTGGAGATCTTTGAACTTGAAGTCCAACTGAAACACGGATTCATGAATTCCGATCACCAAATCCAATTTTCGATTATTGTCGAAATGAAATAAATGTTTGCACAGGCGAAACTGAGGACAAAGAGCAATTTTTTCCCGTGTTCCAAACAGAATTCGATCAAAACGGACCTTTTGTTCTTCGGTCATCGTTTTTTCCTCTTCCGTATTGTCCAGGATTTGCTTCCGAAGCGATAGATTGTGCCAGAAGACCGACGGCAAAACCGTCACTTTTCGACCTCTGAAATGGATTTTTCAGGACTTTAATCGGATTTTAGACCTACAAGTTATCGGGAAGGATGTGTTCGACAATGTGGTTCAAGTAGAAGTCGATCATCGTGTCGTTCAACAGATCCTGAAATTTTAAATCGTGATTTTGAGACCTTGAGTGCTGAAAATCAGTTTTTCGAAGAGATTTTGCGATAGGAATTCGAGAAAATGTATGCTAAAGGTTTTGAGACTTAAAATAATGCGAAACAGCATTTCGAAAAATATTTTTGCCCCGAGATTTTGTAAAATTCTGCCTTGGATCCCTCGATTGAGGATCAAAAAGAGCAGAATGTTTTTGAAAAAAGTTTAAAAAATGCCTAAAAAGCAAAAAATAAGTTTCTTTAATAAGAAGATGAGTTGATATAACATTTCTCCACTTCTTCTATTCCAAACTTTTTTTATTTAAAAACTTTTTCCGCTTGATCTAACTATTGCAATGTGCTCTCCTTTTCTCAAATCCCTTCAATTTTATGGTATTTTGTGATTTTCTCCATCACCCAAAATTTTTTCTCAATGCCCGCCACATGTCCTCCACATTCTTTCACCCTCCAAAACGTTCCGTCAAAAAATTCAAACACATGGGCCCAGAAATTTGGCGCCAAAACTTGAGACACCGTAACCCTTTTCTCTCTTATTTCCTCTTGATTTTCTTGTCGGCCCCCATCGGTCATACGACCCTCGGCGCCATTTCTTTTTCGAAAAGGTTTCGCGCAAAAAGAAGAGAGAGAAAAAAATTGTCGCTTTCGGTTTTGCCGAAGAGAGACACGCTCCCCAGCTGAGATGACTATCGACAGACGGTCTCAGGGTCGTCTCTTTTCGGCAAAAACCAACCAGTTCCCGTCGGCCAAGGACTCTTTGTTCAGGGCGCGTTGGGATTCGTGTAATTCGATTCAATCGAAGGTAACTTCAGCACGCGCACAACGAGAAGAAACTCAAGGATAACTGTCTGAATCGGCTTAACTGACCGTGAAATTCGGTGGGGATTCTTGATGGTAATGAGATTCGATCTGATACGGTCATTTGAAAATAAATCAAATTCAAATCATCTTTTTGAATTTCGGACAAAGAAACTGGATACAGATCCAGAAAGTCTTTAGCCTGTGCTTTTTTCAGAAAAAAAACAAGAGTTCTGAGAAAAATTTTATTTTTGTGTTTCAATAGAGCTTTTGAGGTTATCATCCGCTCGAACTTGTTAACTTTGACTTTTTTTTCAAATTTGTTCTTATTATTTTCCAATCCTTCAAGTAGCTCCTTTTTTGTTCTTTTCCCGTTTTATATTCAGAAAAGCTTTTTGAAATATTAGAGAGCACATAAACTTGAACTTCAATGTTTTCTTCTTTGAAAAAAACATTAAAAAAATCCATTATAAACCGACAAATAATCCCAGTTCTGACCAAAAGATCATTCGCACTTTGAACGATTGGGCAACAACTTTCCCAAATCACATGACGGAGAAGCTTTTCATCGCTCACAAGACCTTTCCTTGATCACATGTCGAAAATAACATATGATTCCTTTGGTCCCATTTCTTCAGTTTCTAGAATGTTCCATCTCTATTTTTGAAGAAAACGCGATGTTCTCCGTGTTTCTCATTCTCTTAGAGAACAGAGAGAGAGCGGAGGATAATTTGTGTGAAAATTCATCCCGTTCCCTGGGCTGCAAATCCGCTCTGTGGACAAACAGCAGGTCGACCAGAAAAAGAAGAAAAAACACACACACACACACATCGACATCGATGAGTAAGAGTGCGGACAATGTGAAAAGCGCAGAGAACGGAGCCGATTTTGCTCCAAAAACTGCGTGGCTCTTTTTCTGGCGCCGGCGCCAGCGTCCGTACCTGGGGTACGCGATGGCACCCTCGCGTTAGACCGCACACAAATACACGCGAAACCACTCTTCGGAGCACGTTTCGCTTCCTTTCTCTCTCTCTCGAGATGAACACTTTTTTCCCGGAGAGAGAAAAAACATCTAAAAGGAAATGCGTGCGGCTTTTGTTCCTTCCAAAATGGAGCGTTCCCGGAAAAAGAAGAAGCTTAAAGATCAGCAGAAGGCTTTTCAAAAACCTCTTAAAAACTACATTATGATTACCCTTCAAAAAAATTTTTAGGAATTAAAAAAACTCAGATTACATTTTTGAACCATCTATCCATTGAGTGCACTTTTCACGTCGTTGAAGCTCAATTTTCAGCCAGATGCCCTTTAAAATCAACAAAAAGCGATCGGCAGCAACCATCAAGTACGGATCTTTCCGAAGGTCAATAGAACTTCCATAATATGCCAAAACTAACCCTTTAGCTACTTCGTTTACTTAAACTTATCGTATTTATAGTTAAAAAGGTCGTTTGGCCTAGTAGGTAATATTCATTTTTAACGTCGGCAAGGCAACTAGTTCACTCGTTAGATAATAAGTAAGACCCAGAATTACACCTCATGCTATTGCAAAGCTGAGAATCTGATTTATGGAGCCCCAAAAATAAAGACTACCACTTATAACCATCAAAACACGATCTTAACCCCGATTTTTCCTCGATTTCAATAGCAAAGCTACCATTAATTTGACCACCCCCTGTCCTAAAATCACTCAAAAAAGCCGTCGCGAGTGCGTTTGTCGAACGGTGGCGCCGCCGTCGACACATCAAACATGCACAAACAGAACGGCAGAAAAAGGATTGCTGCGCGATTCTGATAGCGACGAGAGAGCGTACCGATTCTGGAGTCTCCAAACAAACAGAAGAACCTCTGCCAAAAGTGCACGCAATAGTGCAAGTCTTTCTCTCAAAGTCACCTTTTTTCTACTCTTCAAAATAGAAAAGAAGGAGGCAAAAAGAGAAAAGCGCAACATTATGGGTCCGCGAGGAGAAAAAAAAACAGCTGCTTGGCGGTTCTCATCGTAAAGATCATTCGGGTCGCGAAACGACTACTTTACGATTGACATAGTCGAAGCAGTGGTGAAATCGGAGCTCTAGAAATTATTCCAAGGCTTGGTTTCAAATTAAAAAAAATTATGTATAGAAAAAGGAATTTTTGTATTAAAGAGTATCCATTAAAAAAAAAGTAAAGGATAAATTCTCATTAGAGCGCGAATGCTTCAAAACTATTGCAAAGTTATTTTCAGAAGGATATTCAGACTGCCAAGCGTTTGAAGCTCCTAAAATACTGAAAAAATTTCGTTATTGGAAAGAATAAAATATCTCGGCTCTTAGTGAACTGAACGTGCCGGGGCATTTCTAGTGACCACTTTAGTAGCCTCAGCACTCTTAAGTGATCCCTAGAATCGCCCAGAAACGTCCGGAGCACGTCCGTTTCGCGTTACCAACGTTCGAGAATTATCATTAGAGCGCAGAAGCTCTTTTTCAGATACTTTTTGAAAAATCTAATCAAGAAATTGTGAGAAGCCTTCTCTCTTTATTTTTTTCCGAATCATAAAAAAATCTAATAATTCAACATCCTTATCAAAGAAGCAATTTTTTCTTCCACTTACAAATCTGCTTACTTCTTATTCCTTCACTCGGAGAAAAATCTATTTATAAGTCCAAGGGAACCCTTGAGAAGCTTCCCGGCCATTAATAACTTCGAATTGTTACAGCCCCGTGCAACGCGAAACTTCGAGTTCGACTGCAGGAACAGTTGTGCGAGGCTTCTTATCAAAAAAGCGCCCCTGGCACCGCTCCAATCCCCCAACACCTGTCTCACGTCACGTAATCCTCTGCTCTCCAACGTAGTTTTATAAATAATCTTTGCGCGTTTTGCGAATCGATTATGAGTCAGAAAACGGGGCCCCAGACATTGTTTACATCGATCCGATTTCTCGCGGCGGTATACGGTCAAGCCAAAAAACTATTCCGATGGAATCGGATGGGTCGGGACTTTTTTCCGTTTTGCGCAAAGATATTCGGATGCCAAACAACATCTTGCAAAATGGGGACACGTTCTGTGAACTGTTCTCTCTCTCTCTTATCGCTTATCACCGTTCTTGACCTCAAAAATTAAGTAAAGAGAAAAAGGAGAGGCACGCGCCGCAATGGTAGACTTGCACGTGAAAAGTTGTTTTTGACAGGTCGGACAAAGTCAATCGAAAAAGGACAGATGGCCGGAAAACAGGCCAAACAATGGATTTTCGAATTTTGGGACCCTTGACATTTTTCTAGTGGGTATGAAAGTTTCAGAGAGAAAGCTTCAAAATCGAAAAAAAGGAGTTGAAAACTTTAGAAAAAATCATGGTTCTTTCACTTGAGGCATGAAACAGCGTGCAAAAAGCAGAGACTTAGACATTTTTCGGATAAGTTAGGATTTCGTTTTTCATCACGCTTATTTGGTGAAATCGATAAAATCGATAAAATCTAAACTTTATGATAATTTGATAGTAGAATCCCATTCTAAAAACAAAAAAATAAGAGCCTGCGTGATTTTTGTTCGGTTTTAATTATTTTTAACTCATTTCTCCCACAAAGTTCCAATTCAAAGTTCTGTTTTCGGACCCCAAATCTGGAAGGAAGCTCACTTTTTCCTGCAAACAGCAAAAGTCGGAGATTCGGATGCTGATCGATTGGAAGGGAAACCGAATGCGGAGCATTTCCATCGCCGCGTAGTCGGCTATCGTCTTCTGAATTCAGAATCTTGTTGGGGACATCTTCGGGCCTTGGGTTACCCCCTGAAAGGCGTTCTTCTGGTTGGTCCACTCGTCGTCGTCATCCTCCTCGTCGTCGTAGTCGATGTCTTCTTCGACGGCTTCGTCGTCACTCGGCATCGACTCCTCATAGTCGTAGTCGTAGAAGTTGGACGGCACGGCGACTTTCGCCTCGTTCTCATCGCACGACGAGCCTTCTTCTTCGTCGTCATCGCCTATCGAGTCTTCTGAAAACTCATTGTTCAGAATGCTGATTACGTCGAGGACATCCTAGATACCTTTGAAGAGATTTAAAGAATTCTCATCAATCTTTCAAAAATTTACGTTTTTTTCAAGTTTTTTTCATAAAAAAACTCCACATTTGTATATAAACCTATGGATTGGAGACCGCTATTTTCATGGGAAAAAGCCATTTGTTTATAGTCATCAAAAACAAAACAAAAAACTCGGGAAAAGCTGGAAGAACGATCAAAAGACCAGCTGCTTAGCTAATGAATTATAAAACGACTGGAAATAGCTAAATGTGAAAAATGGGATGAATTAAAAATGCATGGCAAGGATTATTTGAAATGAGGGGGTTTTGAAATTAGAATTTTGATAAAATTTTCCAAAATAGTTCCGAAAACACAGCTGAAAAGCTCAAAAAATTGATGAATGTACGTTTTCTTTGACTCAAAACACCTAAAAAAGGACAACTTCTTTCAAATTTCGGCTCAAGTCAACCTTCAAAACGAACAAAAAAATCAACTGTGAAATTTTCAAATTACTGCTGGTAATTGCTCGATCAGGTGCCCAAAATCATAAATATTCATTTCTGATCTATTTAGACTCATACTATTCAAGAAATGGTGTTGAAACTTCAAAAAGTTTCTCAATTTACCTACTTTTGAGTCAAAAAACGACTCGTTTCCACGAATTTCGGCTTAAATCTACCTTTAAATTGCACCATAAACGTAAGGATCGTTAATTTTGCTTAAACAAATCAAGAAGTTGCAAAAAACTTTCGAAATCCACTCATTTTAAGCTTAAAAACGGCCGCTTTCCAACAAATTCCGGCTTAAATCAGCCTCCAAGACCCACCATAGACATAAGGATCGTGGCGAGACCCGTAGGATCCGAAACGGGGCTCCTCGTCGTCCATCAACTCGTCGTGCAACTCGTCCGTCTCATTGTAGCTGCCGTATTTGTAGTTGGCCGTCGTGGTACAGTAAGATGTCGACACTTCCATCTTTTTTGATTCGATATATCCAATATTCTTATGTATTCGCGAAAAAATGGTTACGTCTACGTACAATTACATACAGTAGTTCTGAAAAAAACTTGTAGAATATTGAATTGAAGACAAAAAAACGAAGTGAATCACGGAAAAATCAATAAAACGAAGCGTAGAATTTTCATTTTTCCCTCTCGGAGAAATTTCACAAGAGATCGGAAACATAAATTGTGTAGGGGAATGTGAACAGCGAAATAGTTCCACGTGTATCTCGGGAACCGGTATCAGAGAGACTATTTAAAGAAATCTGTGTAGTTTGTTAAAAAGATATCTTTTGAGATTGGACACATTACCTTTATGGAAGCCCTTTCTAGGTCGATTTTCAAAAGTAGAGCTGCACTTTGAAGAAAAAGTACGTGAAAAATCAAGAAAGCATGCTATAAATAATTAAAAAGGCAATAGAAGTCTCACAAATGAGAGAAAAAAGAAGAAGCTGGAAAAAAGTTTTTTAACAAATACGTTGAGCTTTTCTACAGAATCGTCTTAGTAGAAAAACTTCTAATTGACAAATTAAAAAAATAATTTTGAAACAGTAGAACCATCAATAGAGTTGCAAAATGGAAATCACAGTCTTCCTTGACTTATAATTAAATCTTTTTTGGATGAAAAAAAGCGAAAAATTCACGAATTGCTTGAAAATAACGACAGAAACGATAAAAAATATTATTTTTGTCTATATTTCATTTTAAAAAAATCCTTAAGAACTAAAAAAATTTCACATCTTTTTCAGATGAACTATTCTATAAACTCAGTACAACGATGACAACAACAGGGAATGGAGCAGAGAATAATATCCAATAGAGGAAACAGCTAAATAAACAGGCAAGTAGAATTCTACGTACAAATATTATATTTTTTTCAGGGGCCTATATTGAAAAAAGAAAGTTTTCAGCGAATTGGAAAAAATCTGTTACTTTTTTCAAATATTGGATGCCATGAATGTAAGGCTAGAATCTATTATAAAAAAAGGCATACGCTTTTAAAAACTTCCAGGAAACGTATTTCGACAGGTTAAACTTTACGTTTCAAAAAAATGGAGGCGAAAAATGTCTAGTTAAAAACAAGTCGAAGAACACGAGTTTGAAAAATAAATTTTTTTAAAAATTTTAAAACAATAAATTGACCCATTTTGAGACCTTGAAGGAACATTTACTGGAAAAAAAGCCATGCGCCTTCAAAAAAAGCACAGAAACCAAGTTTCAACACGTTCAACTTCACAATCAAAAAAAATTAAGACGAAAAAAATCGTCTACTTAAATCAAGTCAATACAAGCTTGAAAGTTACTTTAAAAAGGCAAAATTTGTGTTTTCTGAAACATACTGTAAAAATTCCTGGCGCCTTTGAAGATCTCATGAAACAGATTTCAACAGGTCCTACACCACGGGAATCCGCAAAGGATCCTCATTTAAAATCAATGATTCTGGACAAAAGAAGCGAATAGAGAAGTATGACAGAACCGGCCAAACACAGGAGACGGAAAGGGTTTTTGTGCGCTAGCGGATGAGGTCGACGGCGATCAGCGATAGGCCAACTTGGGCCACACAGATAACCGTGCACAGCGACCAGGGGAAAAAGGAGAAGAGCCGCCGTCGGTTCGGCGACGGCAGAGATCCCCGCAGAGCCCGTCCGCTTTGTCCTCTTTTACACTGCGAGGTTGAAATCGACTAGCCGATATCGCTTTCACTCGCTCAACGCCGTTCCATCGCTAGTATATTATGAGAGATTTCGAGGGATATCTTTTTGCGATTTGTGGTGGACGATCAGGTTCCAAAATGTTCAATTTACGGAAAGATACTCCATTATTGTAGCAGATTATTCAAGAAATTCCACACTAGAATCAAAAATATCCCATTGAAAGTAATAAGAGCAGATTTGAGGGATACTTTTTTTTGTGGGTTACCGCAGAAAAATTCGAAAAATCAGTCATCAAAAATTGAAGAGGAAAAAGTTGAAAAATTCAATTAGTGATAAAGATTAATTGTCTCGTATTTAATTTAAGCTTTCTTGTTTAATTTTTTTAACTTTTCCCGTAATGAATTCTGAGATTATGAATATGTTTCCTTTAAAAAACGCTCTAGCAAAAATATTTATACAATTTTTTCCGTAACTTTTCGAAAATAAGACATGGAAAGAGCCTCGAGATTTTTCTTAATGATTGAAAAAAGAAATCAAGAGAGAAAGAATGAGGAAAAGGTTTCAATAAAAGCTATTTTTTGACCAACTTCAGAAAAATATTACTCACATCTTCTCCAAAAACCTTCTGTTACATTCAAGAAAATGATTAAAAAATTGAAAATCCAAAGTTATCAAAACGAGCTCAAATACAAATGATAACTCGCCATATGCATGTGAGAATGGGCGAGGGCCAACAACTGACTGTTAGATTGATAAACGGCTATCAAGTCGACATGTCCTCGTGATAAGGTATCTTTCGTATTGAAGGGTACGCGACATTCCAGACAAGCTTACTCGGATTGACTTTTGGGAAAGGACAAGGTTAGTAAAACTCGATTTGATAGGATTAATCAAAGGACTCATCAGAAATGATAAAAATTCGTACTTCATTTAATTTTAATCAAAGGAGGGGAGAAAATGGAAAAATTTAAATTGAAAATAGCTCAAAATTTCAGCTTTCTATCTCAAAATATTACATCCAACTGATGAGAATCCAATAAATTCTTCATTTTTCAATTAAAATTTTTTTGAGCATCGAAATAACGCCAAAAGTAGCGTTTTTCGTCTGTAGCAACACGAATTTCACTCTCGAGACCTCAGAATAAAAATTGATTTTAACACAAAATTATACTTCAAAAAAACAGTTATAACTTCAATCACCTAAACACAGATCACACAAAAAATGAAGGTAAACCAATAAAGAAAGAGCAGGTCAAAGGGAAGAGGTAGAGTAACTGGAGAACTCAACAAACCAAAGTGTGTGTCTCGCGCGCGCGGCGGCGGCGGTGAGGGGCGCGCCAAACGGAAGGCGTGGCCAAAAAGGTTGGGCCTTGAGGCGGCGGCAATCTCCGTTCAAAGCCGAGTATGGTGCGATTAGACTGATTGACACGTGTCTCAGAGCTTGATCCAATCAGAGCTTTCACACTTTTCATTGAAGCTTCATGAAACTAATTAAAACCTTCAGAGAGAGGTTTATTAACCAATTAACTTAGGATCAACAACTTCGAGGAAAAAGCAGGAAGAAAACTTTGATGGAAGTCAGAAAAAAAAGTTCTAATATTCAAGAAAAAGTACAGTTAGTTCCAATCAAACCTATCCCTGCTTACCATCGTAGAGCCAATCTACCAATTTACACATAAAAAGGTTAATTAACCGTTACACTTATAAAACAACTGTCACATATATAATCAAAAAATTAAGAAGGAAACTTTGATCGTAAGCCCTGCAGAAAAAAAACATAAAGAACTATAGTTTTTTTTAAAAAGAAACTAGTGTTTTTAGAACCAACCGAACCTATCACTACTAACCTCTCATACACTTCGTCGTAGATCTAACAATTTACACATTTGAAAAAAGGCCAATTAACCAATTACCTTATAATCAATTATCCCATTATTATTGAGAGAATTCCAAGCTTTTGAAGTGACTCATAACTGTTTACTTTGTTCTAAAGAACGAATGAAACTTTGATCGATAGCCTTTTAACATAATATTTTAAAAAAAGTTGGAAAAAACCTTACAATTCAAAAAAAGATTTATTTTAAAATTTCTCCAAACTGTTTTATTATAGCCTTTTTCTAGACAATCTCTAACTTGAAATAACCAAAACTGAACAAAAAGTGACAAAGAGGTGAAATATTATTACTTTTTCTCACCTCCTGCTCACCTCAAGTCAAATAAGTATTATAAACGATTCGGAATGGGATCAAACTAAAGATGTATCTTTCCTGGGTCAAACCGTTTCCCGAGTGGCCTCCCGGTCCATTCATCTCTTCGCACCAACCTACACTCGAAGATAAAGGAAGAATCGGAGAAATTTCCGTCAAGAAGATGTAGGAATATGAAGGAAAACAGTACAGAAAAAAAAAGTTCGTAAATGAAAATACCAAGATTTGGCTTAGATTTTTCAGAACCGAAATTCGGAAAGGTAACAGTAGGAATTGAGCTAAAAAAACCTAAAAATCGGCGGTACGCCATTAATTTCGAAAAAAAACCAAGTCATTGGAAATTTCGACTATTGTATCTCTTTAAAAAAAGGCGGTAAAATAAATTTTTTTAAAATTTTTTTCCAAATAAATCCTTAACAAGGCAAAATTGTGAAAAAGATTTATTTTGGAAGTGTTGTATTCCCTTTAAAAAAATGGAAATTCTGACTTTCAATAGGGAAAAAAATTACCTTCCAAATTCCAGCAACCAGATCCTGGAAAAACTTTAAGGAACGGTTAAAGACCTTCACAGGATCAATCAGAACAACTTGAAGAATCCAAAACCGTCAAAAAACCTTTATAATTTTTGCCTAGGTTCCTTTGAAAAATACAAAAAAAATATTGAGATGAAAGTGAAGCTCTTCGAATCCAAAATTCTATGGAGAAACTGAAAAATCCTCCAAAAAAGCAAAAAAGTCCACCTCCAACACAAACCTCACACTTTCCCATGGCGCGCCGTAGTCCAGAACTTCAAAAAAAGTAGAAAGAAAGGAATGAGGATCCAACAGACACACAAGTTCAAAGGGATAGTGGCGTGTGTTTAGGAGGGGGCAAGAAAGACGAAATTCTGCTGCGGAAGAGGGAGACGAGACGAGGCGAAACGACGGCAACTGTCTGGCGCAAGACGTCGAGGCCGTCGTGAGAAACGCAGACTCGTCGGAGGGCTACCGGGTTCACCCCCAGTCCAAACCCTTCGAAAAAAAGAAACGAAAAAGAGAAGCCATTAATTTTTTTTTTCCTTTCTTCTTCTTTTTTTTTCGCGTTGGCGCATGCGCTCAGCGACAGCCGCTTGGACTTTCATCGCAGTACGTCTTACGAATTACACAAAGTCGAAGAATTAGTGGGAGTGTGATTTAGGAGCGCGTGCATGGAGTTTCTCTGTCTAAAAAAACTAAAAAAAAGTGAGAAAAAAGATTGAAAAAAGGAGGTTTTTTACTCATAAAAAGATACTTGGTGAGCTTCTGGGCCCTGGATCGTATTAATCAAGATTCCCGGCTTGTAAACTGACTTTCACGCCAACGTTTGAAATTTAAGCAAAATTAGGTATTAACTAAAAAAATTTTTTTGAGCTTCTCGGGGAAAATTTTTAGTGGGCACTATAGGTTTTTGACGTTTTAGTGGCCACTATAGAAATAGAATTAGTGGCCACTTAAGGGGTTAAAATTAGTAGCCACTATAGAGGTCTACTACTACTAGACCACTACAAACTTTAGTGGCCACTTTAGGGGTCAATGGGTCAACATAAGTGGTCCAATCTGTTTTAAAATTATCAGAGTTACTGGAAGGAACACTGGATGAAAAACCACTGAAGTAGCCACTAAATAAGGAACCTCTATAGTGGCCATTAAAACGGAAAATAGTGGCCACTGTAGAGGTGGGTTTGGTGGCCACTTTAGTGTCCTCTCTAAGTAGTCCTTTGCGAGCCTCTACAGTGGACACTAAAAATTTTCCCAGTAGTTTCGGCAATTCTGTTCTAGGACCCAACCTCAGTATAAGTAAAAATAAAAAAAAATTCGGACATTTTCGAACTAAATTTTCCTTTTTAAAACTTTCAGTAATATTTTTTTGAAACAAAAACTGAAAGGACGAAATGCAAATGGTTGTCACGTGCAGCCAAAACGTCGAAAAGATCAAAAGCCCATCAATTTCGCCGCCCAAACGCGTCAAGTTGTAGTCAATCAACGAGGGCAGACTTTACAATCTTTTGTCTGGCTGCTCGAAAGAGTCTTTATGTCAATGAACTTTGTGCAAAACTTTCGAACCAATCTCTATCGAATTTTGGAAAATTTGAAGCTTCCTATGACTCAGAAGTTTAAAATAATGCACCATTCAAACGTAAACATATATATTTTCTCTCAGCAGATCATGATTTGCTCACAACATTTCTACAGCCGAAATTTTCCCAGCTCGATTAAATTTTTCAGAAAATGACCAAAAAACTGTTCAAAATTAATTTTTCCAGCAAATTTATGGTTCTAATTCACTTATAAGAGTGACAAAGTAAAATAACATTTTGAAGCGATTTTTCTAAACGTGACTAAAATCCAAGATATCACAAGAAAGCCCATTTGAAAAAATTCCACTTGTAAGCTTTTCCTTTCAATTTTATCTACTAGTAATCAAAGAAAAAAAAGATGTGAGAGCTTGAAAGCCGGATAAAGACCCAAAAAACCATCAAAAATATAGAAAACGCCCTCATCTAAGCCTCCGATATCCATCAAATAAGCGATTTCAAATTTTCTCTTTTCCATCTTCTGTTCCGTCTCAAACTGGCAACTATTATAATTGGTTCTTATCAAAAAATGGCGCCGAGATAACCAAAAAAGTCGCAACATTTGGCGCCACGATATCGCGAGACAGTCCAAATGAGCCACAATTTGAATCAAGACAACAAAACCTTAGGGTTCAAAAAAAAAACTCGTCTGCGCGTTCTTTTCCGCAAAAAAAAAAGTGGAACACAAAGATGGGAATGTCAGGCTGCCCACGGAATGTATTCAATAAAAACAACAGAACGACATTTTCGATGAATGTAGTCGAAAGGAACAAGAGAAACCTCGTCACAAACATGCGCTTCCGAGCTGAAGAAAATACCTGTGAAACTTCGAAAGAGGTGGACCACAGGAAAATTTAGCAAACATAAATAAAAAGATTCGGCGGCTGACTAAAAAAACGATGATTCATGAAGGCTTTCAAGGTTCTTTCTTGAAAATGAATCGTGAATGACAGACTTTTAAACACCTTTAAAACTTTTTAAGGAATGGAAAAGCTTTTTCTTTGCATTTTACAATACGAGAAAAAGCTTCTGGATATGGAAAAAAGAGGTCCTTTTTTTCGAAAAAAAATTGGCAATGAAAGTCAGAATATAGTACACTTTTAGTTATAAATTTCAGTTTAACAAAAGAAAAGGAATAAAAAAATTTTCAAAAGAACAAAAAAATCATGTATTCCAGCTTCTTCTTCTTCAAGCCCATTGCTGTTCTAAAAAAGTTTCAAAAAATTTTATAGCGATTTTTTGGACTAAAATTATTCGAATATCAAATAAATCATGAAGACGACGTACTTTTTCTTTTTTTACTTCGTTTCGGGCTAAAAACGGCTCTTCGCTGCGAGACCTTTATGCGTTTGAACTATGCTCCTTCGAAAAAATTTGACTAAATTGAAAAAAGAAAAATTTTTGCCACTTTTTTCCGTTTACTGTGTGAATAGGGTGAACGAGAAAAATTTTTTTAAAAAGGACTACCTTTTTCCAAAAATGCGCCCTGGCCATAGGTTACTTTTTCAAACATGATTTGTACCTCTGAATGTTCTTTTTCAATGAAAAATTTTTTTCAGTGGTCAGAGAACCCCATTCGGTGTGTTCAGAATTTCAACCTACAGTGTTCTTTAACAATCCGGTGTCTCCAGACACTTACAGGTGGGATAAGTTGGTGGGGGGCGTATAAAAGAGCTCATTAAAAGTTGTGATGGGAAAGAGAAAGAGTGTGGGTGTATGCAAATAAGACGGCGATGGGGATGGCGCAACCTGGACGATCCGAGCACTACAGATAATCAGAGAAGATGATCGGCGGAGGCTCGCCGAGTGTCTTCAAGTGCGCTCCGCCGCCAATTGGTCAGTGTTTGTGTTGGCTCCTCGGAGCACTGTTGCGATTCTCGAGGAGAGGAAGACGAGAACCTGTCCTCAACTTGTTTCTCCGGGTCACAAAGTGCAAATGATGCAAATTACTTACATCTACAATCACAGGAGAGCTTCAGCTTGCCTCAAAAAGGTAAGATTTACTTTGAAAATTCATTATTCTAATGACTCAAGAACAGATTGTTTGAAAGTCCATTGATTCTTTGATTTTTTAGAACCTGGACAAGTGAAATTAATTTTTTTGTATACTTCTAGCTCAATAATGAGAAGCTAGCTGGTCTATGAAAATTAAATCTTCTTCTTATATGAGTTT